CGATTCCGACCGCACCACATTTTAAAGGTTTTTTTTCTCATCCCCAAATAAATAAGAATATTATCCTTTTATTATTTTAACATGTCTCAAACATTTTTTGCAGAGTATTACATTTTCTTTTTCAGATTTGTGGCTCTGGAGGATTTTTTTTAAAAGGGAAATAAAGTCCGAAATTATAAAATGGTCTGAATCCCATCTTGTGAATACGAGGTAACAACGATAATTTTGGCATGGAGCCAGACTAAAACTTGTCACCGGAAAATGTTTAAGTACAAAAAAACAGTAACTGCGCATGTTCAGTGCATATCCGGCAAACTAACGTTTACTAAAGGTTTGCCGTCTCCGGCAAAATATACACTGCCTAAAAAAAACCAGCCGGCATGCCTGGACAAGGATGATACATGTAACTTAGTACTTTTTAATGCTTGACCTATCCTAGCCCCACTAGTGTGGCCGTCGGTATGCTGCGCTGAACCCAAGGCCACACACCGTGGTCTGCGCACTACTGAGGACGTTTTCATAATTTCAACAGCGAATTTCTTACATATGGTTGTATTCTACGATGTCCCAACTTTCACTTCTGGGATGCTTGGGTGTAATGATGTTCAATTTTCCAAGATATTCTTGAATCTTTCTGGAGCCCATATGCACTCGTGAAACGTCTGGTGATGGCAGCCATTTTGAATGTGACAAGAGATGACCTCAAGCTGTGACGTCGCGTTTATGCAAATTGCTTGTCGGGCGATCGCGAGGGCGCGAGTTGCAAATGCGACGGCTGTTTCCTGTACCATGCATTTATCGTCTGGGGGCCACGTGCACTGATCTCTATTGGGGGCCACGTGCACTGATCTCTATTCAGGATCTACGGCACAGGAAACAGCCGTCGCATTTGCAACTCGCACCCTCGCTCGACAAGCAATTTGCATAAACGCGACGTCACAGCTTGAGGTCATCTCTTGTCACATTCAAAATGGCTGCCATCACCAGACGTTTCACGAGTGCATATGGGCTCCAGAAAGATTCAAGAATATCTTGGAAAATTGAACATCATTACACCCAAGCATCCCAGAAGTGAAAGTTGGGACATCGTAGAATACAACCATATGTAAGAAATTCGCTGTTGAAATTATGAAAACGTCCTCAGTAGTGCGCAGACCACGGTGTGTGGCCTTGGGTTCAGCGCAGCATACCGACGGCCACACTAGTGGGGCTAGACCTATCCATGTACTTATAACTTATTACATGATACATGTATTAAAGGCAAATTAATTGTTAAATGTGATGATGTGATGAAACAATGTTCTGGCATTTTGTTTACACAAACATGTGAATGTGGTGTAGGCCTCTACTCCAGTCAGCAGTACACACTGCATACAAAATGGAGGTGACGAGTCACGATGTCGATGCTGTGTGTGTGCAGCGCGTGCATTATTAATTCTGCTGCATGGCAAACATTTTTACCGTCGTACTTCGTAAACATAGGGAAAGGAGACCGTCAATATCCAGTGCTGTCAAAGTATAAATCATCTCTGAAACAACGAAAGCTTACCTTTAATCCCGAGCGAGTGAAATAAGCGAAGAAACAGACAGACTTGGTGCAGATTTCACAACCCAAACGCCGAGACAAAGTCCAATAATGCCTGACAAATTTTCCGGGCGTTGTCAATACAGCAATTTATTTATTGTGGGTACCCATGTCCACGCCCTTTGTATAGTACGGTAATGAATGGACGTCGAATGGGTACCCGTCTAATTTTACCGCATCTTGGCTATGGCTAATGCACATAACACATAGAAGCGGCTAATGCCACTTCTAACAGACAAGTGTGTTACTGATGTTACTTCAAGCCGTAGCCCAAAGCGGCTTTACCCTCCGCCAGCAACCTCGTCCCGATCCCCGGGGAGTTACTTTATGTTCAAGCTCGTTTTGCAATAGTAACTTGTGGCGGGAGCGTTCTGCTGAACACAATGAAAACGAGGTTGTCTTCGTCTGTGTTTTATCACTCTCTCCATGCTCCAACAAAGCCAATATTGCTGACCAATAATTTCGTATACACTTCTCTTTAAAGCTAAAAAAAACCTTTGTACTGTCCGGGCGCGGGCTCGAGTTATTTTACGTTTCACCCCGAAAGAAATACAGTTGTTTCTAAATTATTGTTTTTGTAGCAATGTAAAATCTTGCTTGTAATTGCCTGAGGGTCGGTCGAGTTGAAGCCTATATAGGCTTAACATAATGACCCAACAAATCTTGGTCAGCCTAACTAATCTGATCTATTAACTTAAAGAGGTCTGGTTGCAGAAAAAATAACAGAAGAGAATGGCAGTTGATGAGGTAATTACAAATGAATATCTTGGAGTGAATTTACGGTTGTGGAATTTAAAAGAACTGAGTGGAGTACGTTGGACCACTTCCTCACTGGCAGCTGTTTAAGTGTCAACGAATCGATGTGCCGAAAAATCCAGTCTACATCATACATTTCTTGGTGTGACGTCTAGTTCAACTTGATTTAGTTGATATAGGCTTAAATATTTGTTCCACCTCTACATGATCAAATTAACAAGTTCACCGGGAATTGTATAGACCTGGACCACGTCTGCCCCGTCGTCGATACTCGAGTGGGTAGACCTATGCAGCACCAACAGTCTCAGAGGTTGTCCTCTAGAACCAATAGTTGCTCTATACGTGGGACCGATTCAATGTAATTAATATCTTTAATCAGATAGGAGACCAGACACTATTGAACTCAAGATGAGGTCGCATCTGGGATTTGTACAAACAAGATACCACAATCCATAACTATATGTCCGCTTATATATATTATCATAACTCCCAGCATTAACCTTTCGAAACTCAGTGCAGATGCAGAGCTAGCTGATCATTGGTCACGAAATTTCAACAGTGAGTCAAAGATAACACTTATAGATCCTTCTCTGATGATATATCTTTGAGATCATGAAAGACATCACTTCCACTTCCCTTCACTAGAGAAGTGCCATTGCACTTATCAACACCAATCCGCACGACTCCACCGTTTTCTTGGGATTAAATTGAAGTTGCCACTCATCAAGTGCTATATTATCAGGTCTTCCTGAAGGGAAGGGGAAGGGTTTTCTCCTCTCACACTATAATTTATGTAGATCTTAATTAGTATCATCCGCAAATAATTATATTTTTACCGTAATAAAGAACAACACAGGCCCTAAAAGTGAAACACCTTGAGGAATTCCACTGGTGACCTCATACCAATCTGAAGCAGACCCAGATATTTTAAGAAGGCTTCGATCCAGTCACAAACGTGCATGACCACAATTCCGTATCCTTCCAACCTCTTTCAAGTAGACGCGATTGTGAGACGCTGAGTCAAATGCCTTCACCTGCAAGTCTAAGTATAAACGACATCTATGGAATAACCTTGATCAAGCAGAGCAGGCCATGTGATGAATGACTTGATTTCGAGTAACCGAGTATAGTTGTAGATCTATACCACTTCTAAAGCCATAATAATATGCTGGTTGGGTGAGAACAAAGCATGATGATCATCCATATAATATATTTCACAATTACTTCAGTCTGACTGAAGTGGGGCTGCAGTGATGATCGGCCGGTAGTTTCCAACAGCTAGACAGGATTAACATGAGCTGCTCTTCATTCTTTAGGAATATAACCAAATTCAACTGAGACATCTAGAGCGCAATACTGAGGTGGAATAGCCCTTATAGTAACCTAGCTCCTCATGGGTGAAACCCATCGGGGCCAGGCGACTTGTTTGGATTCAACTAAGCACCAGACTAGGCGCAATCTCTATGTTCTACACCTGCTCAAGACACCTGACATATCTTCTGCTGTGAAAACTGATGAAAAAAATTATGGCATATCTGCCTTGTCCTTAATCCTCTCGGAACAGATTACCTTCATATCTCCTCACGATACCGGTACTTCCAGAAAGACTTAGGTTAATCTCGAATTTCAGAGGCCACCATTTTTTTTAAAAATTAATTGCCTCACGCTTTGCTGCCGTCACATCATGTCGAGCCTTGGTGTAATCATGCTTGTAGTACGCTGGGGCAATGGTGATACCTGAATTGAACCAAGCCTTTCTCTTAATTTTGATCGGAAACTCTTTAATTTCATGGTCATACCTAGCGGTTGAGTACTTGTTCTTGTACCTTTAATATTAGCCCTTGGTTAATTAAGCTCACTGGATATAGGCTTCTTTGCAGACAGGGTTGTAAGCTTCAGTCTCTGCAAAACACTGCCACTTTTAAATGAGAAAAAGATCCGATCGGCTCAAGTTCAAGTGATGGAATAAATTTGATAAAGGCAGATCGTGGGCAGATCAATCCGTTGGTAAGCAAAAGCAACCAAATATAAAAGCCTTTTGGATGGAGGATTGCAAAATAGATATGAAGTAGTTTTGTTCTTCCGAAAACAAGTTGGGGAATCTGATATGATCGTAACAAAAAAATGGGTTGTTTGTCCACCCTCTGGGTGCAGTGAACTAATTCAAGTGAGAGTTTCTACGCGAGCTGATTAGCATAAAAAGTGACCCCACAGTTTCTTTTGAAAACGGAGACCGTTTGGCTTTAAAATCGTTGGAATTGTGTAAATGTAGCCAAGGATCAACTCCCTGGATTTTGGCTTCGATCAGAGGGCAGGCTTGATAAAATTACGGTTGAAAAATGGGTCCTATTTGCCTGAGAAAGTGGAAGGATGTCACTTGTAAAACGGCTACATGCAGGCTTGGGAACTATCACTTTTCGGGAGGTGATTTTGTTTTGGTGTGAATATTTAAAAATGTAATCGGCTAGTCTACCCAAAATTGAAAAGAAATGAAAAGATGACGTGCAAGACAATAATTTAATTTTTGTTTGAGAAACCCCAGTGATGTCGGCTTGCATGTTATTTGGCCCTGCACTTTGTTGATTTTACACTGTTTTCAATGGGGCTTGAATTGGTTCAGTGCCCTTCTCGGTCGAGAGGTTTACATTAATATGACAGCAAGAGAGGGCGCTGTTTCTGGTTGCCGTAGTTGCTAAAAAATGGCGTCCTCCATGAACGTCGCCAAGACTCTATCGTCGGTAGAGAGCTGGTTGCAAGAATTGAAATCGGCAAAGAAAACTGCTTTGGTGCAAGATGGTTAGTAGTAGTACCAACAAAAGCAGATCTATCAGGAGTTATACTATAGTTGAAGAGAACCATCGCAAGTTACACAATTGCACTGGCAACTGTTTTCCTTTTCAGTGTCACTGCAGTCTGCAGAGTGCCAGTGGCACTGCTATGGGCGAGTAGTGGATGTTTCTACTCGAGTACTCGGAAAGAAATTACTCGCGAGTAGTCGAGTACACACAAGTAGTTAACCAAATACCTATAAAAGTAGAATATATGTTTAAATATGATGAAGTAAGAAAATAGCGTGCAAGTCTGAAGTCACACCACATTCTTCATCATGTTCACTGAGATGTGTGTCGTTTTGGGTCATTTGCTCGATATTTATATAGGCCTATTGCTTTTTTCTGAATCATCGCTCTAGAGGAATTTTTTTAATAGGGAAATAAAGTCTGAAATTGCATTACGCCATCTTGTGAATACGAAGTCACGATTTCACAAGGGCAATTAAAGCAAGAAACCAGACGAAGATTTGTCACGGTTAAAATTTGTAAGTCCCAAAAAACAGTCACTGGGCATGTTCAGTGCTGTGCCGGTAAAAGAGCTTGAAAAAATTTGGAGACCGGTTAACAGATATCCACTGCCCAAAAATAAAATTAGGATTACAAAATTAGTGATGAAAACACTTGGTCCAAGAAAATTCAAAGAGATTGCCTAGTAATTCATTTGCCTGTTTTCCTTGTTTTAGCTTGCAAGAAGGTGCACTTTATTTTCACGAGTGGAACAGAGATGGTGGAGGAATACGACCTCAAATCAAACGAATTACTTGGTAAGTTGGAAAGGCTAACTAAAGGTGGACCCATTTTTTGACATTTCTGAATGCTGTATATTCCGAGAATACAATATTCTAGAATCTCAATTTCTATTCAAAAGTTGCCGAGTCACGTTTTGAATTGCACCTGAAATCAGCATCCAGGACACGTTCTCATTCAGCCGATTGCACTACGTGTTGTCGTGCGCTGAACTGACAAATAATAGTAACCGCGAGCGTGTGTACGTCGTGTCAACGCTTGCACGCACCCATTCACGACTTTGCCAAATTAAAAATGAAATGCTAACGGAAATTTCCAAAAAATGTGCTTTAGATGCATCTTTGGAAATGACCTTTTTCTGTTTTTTTTTTTTAATCAAAATGACAGCACGCCAGACAGAACAATTTCACAGGGAGTTTAGTGCCATTACTATCTTTAAACCAAGCATGTTCTTCAACAATAATTTTGTCATTTACTTTTTGGATAGCTGCAAATAATGTACTCTACCTTTAATTATGGTTCATAAGTTTTCCTTACAGAACCCTTTGCTATAAACTTATCTGTAGACACTGTAGACATTTTCAACAATTTCATTCGTTTTTTCGTAGTTAGAAAATGGAAGACAAAGACAACACTCGGTGGTGCTGGCAAGTGGGAGTTTGAGATCGGGGAGCAACTCTGCCTGGCCGCCAGTCTGGAGGTGGAACCTTTGCGAGAGAGCAGTTTAAATGTGAGCTCCGTGTGAATTACAAAGAGTTTGCAGTCATATGAGATTTTTAGGCTATTAGTAGTTTTAGTTCCGATAAGAACAGTCCTGCAGGACACACAGGGGGCATCCCACTCCGACACAATGCCCAGGGCTCACAGCCGGCTGACACACCTGAGCGAGCAGGACCCACTACGGGCATCCCACTCCAACACAATTCCCAACAGACAACCAATCAGAATCTACCAACACAAGCTCTTCCAATCCTAACACAGCCTACTAATAAGGAGCAGCATCTCCAACTCTCCTCAGTCTCCTGACGATGACTAGAACAGGCTACTTGAAACGTTGAGACAAAAGACAAGTTCTTTTAGAACTAAGCAAGACTGTTCTTATCAGAACTAAAAACTACTTAGCGAAAGTTAATAAGCAGGACAAGTTCTTATCAGAACTATATATCTACTATATCTATTAACACATGGTGTTGCTGCAAACCGAAACGAGTCTGCAGTCACCAGATACTTACATTTGATATTACTATTAAAGTTTTATGCAAGGAGGACTCTCTTGCAGTGAACCATGTAGATTTCAATGATGTACATTTACTTTCAATACAATGTTTACCTTCTAACTTCATAAAGTTGATTCTATTCCTCAGCCCATCTTTACGAGAAAGGACACCAAGCAGAGTTTCCAGTGGAGAATTCGCAATCTGCCATATCCAATGGGCGTGTACAGTGTGACCGTAGACAATGACAACAGATGCTGCATTGTCCGAACGTCCAATAAAAAGTAAGCAGCCCCAGTATTCATAGTTATCCCTGATGGGCCTACAGTTTCTGTGCCGAAAACTTTAGGTTTGCTCCATGGCAAAAAAAGTTGGCTAGTTGTACTATTCATTTCTTTTTTATGCAACAAACAACCATCCAGGAAAACTGATATGGTAATTTCCATGTTTTTGTTGTTGGATGCAGTAATTTGTGCAGTAGTTTGGTTGAATGCAGCATGATTTATCTACGGTAACTGAGCTATCCGAGTAACCCTATGTCAGCAAAGTTCCATTTTGTCAACGTCTTTGGTTTGGACACAACTCAGCAGCCATAAAACAAGTAAATGTTTTGTAGCCACAGATCTTTATGCCTAACTTGACCATCGGCTCAATAGCTTCTGCCACTGTGTCAAGCTGACCCTCATCCTTCGTTAAATGTCCATAAAATTAACTTGAGAATTGAAAAAATGTCAAGATTATTCTAGTTTTGTGTGTGTTGTTTGCTGTTTATAAAGGTACTACAAGAAATTCTCCATACCGGACATGGACAGGGCAGGTCTTGTGCTTGATCAAGCAGCAGTGTCCATTGCTCATGCAAACAACACACTGATAATAATGGTGAGTTGCCCTGGTGCGAGGTTGAGTGGGCAGGGGAAAGTAACCTTATCAAAACTTAAATGGTGTGACAGGCAGGTAATCTCGCATGAGTTATGGACTGACATGACCTGAGAACCTCGTAGCTTACAATTAATAGCTTATTATGTAGGGTATTTGCCTGAGTGTGAGGTTGAGGCCAGCAGGTTACCTCGCACGAGATATGGACTAATGTGAGGTTTGCTACAAACCTCATAGTTGGATGTGCTGTTAAAAGCTCAAGCACACACCACACTAGTGGAGGTCATTTGCCTCGGTGCGAGGTTGTATGGGCAGGGTAAAGTAACCAAAGCTTAAATGGTGTGACAGGCAGGTAACCTCACATGAGGTATGGATTAACGTGAGGTTTACTAGAAAACCTCATAGCTTGGATGTGCATATGTGCTGTCAATTGCTCCGGCACATACCACACTAGTGACAGTAATTTGCCTCGGTGCGAAGTTGATATGGGCAGGGTAAAGTAACCATATCAAAGCTGACAGGCAGGTAACCTCGCATGAGGTATGGATTAACGCGAGGTTTACTGGAAAACCTCATAGCTTGGATGTGCTGTTAATTCCTCCGGCACATACCACACTAGTGACAGTAATTTGCCTCAGTATGAGGTTGAGGTGGGCAGGGTAAAGTGACCATATTAAAGCTGACAGGCAGGTAACCTCACATGAGGTGTGGACTTTATGGATGTGCTGTTAATAGCTCAAGCACACACTACACTAGTGACAGTACTTTGCCTCAGTGTGAGGATAGGGCAGAGAGCCTCAGCAAAGATCAGGACATGGCCGACACAGGCAAACCATCTTGTAGGAGGCAGGGACCGGTGTGAGGTTTCCTAATAATTGTCGTAGCTTTGGAAAACTGTATAAAGATTATGCAAACACCATGCATTAAGACATGGGAAATGGGGACGGACAAAATAAAGGAACCTCACAAAAGCTGAGGTTTACCTTACAGGGATTAAGGGCGAGTAGCAACCTGCCGACTTTACCAATCCAGAATTCGTTGTTTGTATTGAACCAACAGTACAAGAAACCGCAAGAAATTCTGAAGATGGAACGACTCGTCCAGCAGGAGATACAAAAGATCAAGGCTTCCAAGGATGGAGATGTGGAATGCAATCCCAGTTGATGGAACAAGTGCTGATTAATAAAAAAAAAATGTGTTAGGCCAAAAAAAAAAAGTCTCCGGTTTCTGGTATGCGCGCGCGTCGCCGTAGCCATGCGCGTCGGCAAAATGAAAATGTTTTTTTTTCAATAAAAGATGATGTCTCAAAACCGCCAAACTCACTGGTTTGACTGGAATCCTGCTGCTGCGCAATTTTAACGTGTTTTTAGATGGGGTTATGATCGAGAATAAGCTTTATGTGGCCTCTCTGGACTCCCATATAATTGCACAAAGTTTAGTCGGGCACCATTTGCAGTCATCAGCCGGCATTTGAAGCAAAAAAAAACAGGTAAAAAAAAAAAAAAAGCCGCGTCGCCGCACCACTTTTGGGGCAAGCTCCATACCAGAAACCGGAGACTTTTTTTTTTTGGCCTTATGTGTTCACACTTGGAGAATGGGGTCAATTCCGTACATCTTTTCAAAAAATGTAACAAGGTCTGAAACTTTTGGTAAATGTGTCATAGAGATGCTGGAATACTGGTTACAAGTACATTAAATGTTGGTTATTGAATAGGCACCAGTCAATCAGTATTTTCAAGCTGCATTTTCTAGTTTTGGATGACATTTCTGGGCAATTCATCTACACTTGGTGCCTTATAGACTCCCATGCAGGAACAGACATGTGGCCAACACTTTTCAGCGCCAGTGTTTGGAGTACTCCATGTCTGTTCTGAGTACTACGTCTTTCCCGCAGTGTCTTCGTGTCAGAACACATGGTGTGGGCTAAAATGTTGGAATGACACCCGAGGGTCCTCTCCATGGGCGCCCCGAGGAGGGGGATGGGGGAGGGGGGGGGGGGGGAGGGAACAAAAAATAGAGGTGTAGAGTCATATTGCTGTTAATTGAATGCACAGTTTACAACATGGGTGTCTTCAGGGGTGTGAATGGGGGTGGAGTGGGCAAATGTCCCCCTGCACACCCTAAAAAAAATCATAAATTGAGAATATGCTAGAGAAAGTACAAGGATTTGGGGAAATAATGTGCTTTGCCACCTTTAGAAAGAAATCTTGGTGACGCCCATGGTCCTCTCACCTTCACTGTTGAGGGGGGCACCAGTGCACAGTTCTTTGGCAGTTAAGGGTTTCCTTGGTGATCCTGCTCATGGGCGTCGCGAGGGGGGGGGCAAGGGGGGGCACTTGCCCCCCCCCCTGGAAAAGCAAAAAAAAAAAAAAAAAAAAAAAAAGGAAGAAAAAGAAAAGAGAGAGAGAAAAAAAAAAAGAGGCGCGAAGACAAAGTGGTGTAAATTTAATGAGTTGGGAGGGGGGCAAAATGTCCCTTCCCCCCTCTAAAACTGATAAATCAAGAATGTGTTGAGAAATACAAGCATTTTTTGGCAAATTTTTTTTTTGCCCCCCTCTAGAAAACATTCTGGCGACGCCCATGATCCTGCTGTTTTTCATAATTAATTGATTCACTGTATGTAGTCAATTGATCATTGCAGCTAACGGCAAAGAGTCATTTGAAAAAATAACACCATAAAAAAACCTTCTGATTCATTATGTGTGTTCTAGAAAATTGAAAGAGGTCCATGTAAAAGTGACTTGTCTAAATAAAGTAGGCTTTGGAAATGATTCTAATAAATTTAATGCAACAAATTACATGTATTTTGGAAAAGGATGAAAATAAGGACTCTTACAACACTTGTGTAGATACAGTGTACAATTGTGCATGTATATTGTACAGTGGCTTCAATTTTTTAACCACATGCATTATGTACATAAGATTCTGATAGTAAGATCATGCAGCAAGACACAAATGTTCAAGTAAATGTGATTAGTTTGGTGAACTGCAGTGTATATTTATTTCAGTTATTTCATTTGTATATAATTGTGCATACATGTACAGTGCGCAGTTTTGCAATAAAAGATTGTACACTTTTTTTTAGCAGATATGACTCGGGCGTCAAATTTTTGCAGCTCTGATATTTTTGTGGGCTCACAATTCTTCTGGATCAAGATATTTTTATGCTGTAAAATTGAAATAATGAGAGGGTTAGCCAGTAAAGTATTACTATTTCTTGTATTTATATTTTCTGTGACTGAAACCAATGATTCCTCAGCTTGGCGCCCTGGGCACTAGCTCGCAAGCCTGAAGAAACCTGTTTATAAGCAATGAAGACATTACAGTGTTAGAAGTGGGAGCAAAAAAACCCAGAAGAACATTCTGGGGAAAACCCATGGAATCATGTAGGGACTGAAACCCAATCCACATGTGGACCAGCTGGGGCAGGAATCAAACCCAGACCACAAGGGGTGGAAGGCTAGGAAAGAGCCACTGCACCATTTGATCCTCCATCAACCTGATACCCAAACTAACAATAGATGGTATTGTCTTTCTCTCGCAATAGCTTCAATGTGAAGGAAAAACCGTGTGCAAACACTGAATTGCATGCAGATGGCATAAACTTATGCATGGCTTGTCATCAAATGTGCACAACTTATCTTCATAAAGGCACATACTGAACGAATGCAACAAAGTTAGGTATCTGTCATATCTCTGTTACTTTTGGGGGTGTACTCGGAGCAATGCCCCTCGATGCACTTGTGGTGTCCTCGTCTCTTCTGAGATGCTTACACACCTAAAATTGAAAATTATTCCGACAGAATCATTCTTGAAGGGAAGCCTGATCAGCAAACTATCTTTGAAGTGTCCACATCCTAAATATTCTGCTGGTTGACCCCTTTTTGATTCTGTGGGACCCACAGTTCATGTCAACAGGTGTCAATGCTTTCCCTGTGACTTGCACAATGTAGACAAGTTCTAGAGATGCATCCAAAGACTGGATTTGTAGCAGCACAGACATACTTTGCACAGGAAACACTCACGTTGGTCTGCAAGTAATGCTCGCCGTATAAATATTACAAGCAGCGGCACTATTTTCATAGCTTTGGGTACGTGTGGTCTAACGGTGGAGCACAGCCTGGATAATCGTGAGATTGTGGGTTCGAGCCCCGCCGTGGCCATGCATGTTGTGCCCTTGAGTAAGGCGCTTTACCTCAATTACTCCTCTCCACCCAGGTGTTAAATGGGTACCGCATTATTCAATGCTGGGAAAGTAACAGACTTGCTGTAGAGGAGGTGTGGCGATCCCCCACAGCAGCACCTCATGGACTTGAGTCTGGCCCAATCGCTTCGAAAGAGAGATGGGCACTTCCTGTAAACACAGGTTCGTCCCCCCTTTCGTAGCTTCAGTGTTTAACCTTTCAGGTGTCCGACACTGATACCAGATTTGAACACTCCTCGTTTTGTGGGTTTCACAGATGGGATGAAGGATTTTAGTCATCTCATTCTGTCAGTGTTCAAGGAGGCTTTATTAAATTCTCCAGTTCTGCAATTTCAGTGAATTCTTGAACCGCTTCGCAAATATGCTCTAATGTCCATTTGTCCTCTGCCAGTGCGTGCTTGGCTAGTGTGAAGGGTCCCTGCTGGGTGCGTGTTAACTCTGCAAGGTGAGCGTTGGTCCCCATATCTGTAAAGAACAGAGTCAACGAACAAGGAACTAAAAAATGGTTTTATACATGTACTTAAAATTTCTTAAATGGCAATTTTGTTTACGATTTTTTTTTGAAGCATTTAAAAATAAATTTTCAAAAAAACAAAGGATTAAAATATACACAAAACCTTTTGTTTAAGCTGGGGGAAAAAGGTAACATTCAAAATAGGAGGGGGAATATTTGGCATATGGTACTGCATGGACTTCTTAACGGAGCCAGCTACAATGCATGCACTGGATGTCGCACACATTACGGTAATGAGTAAATGCAAATAATTTTCAACCATGACGTGCACTAACACATCACAGACGCATATGACTGTTGGTAAAGTAGGACTTCTGCCATCAGGTTTTGAACATTGTGAATATGCCTGGGCGAGTAGTGGATTTTCCTACTCGAGTACTCACAGAGAAATTACTCGCGAGTAGTCGAGTACTCGTGAGTTGTTTACTAAATTCCCATAAATACAGAAAATATGGCATAAACATTATTAAGAAGGCAGTTACTACGAATTAACAGCATAGAAGACACACCACATTCTTCAGGACTGAGATATCCTGACTATGCAAAACTTTGGCTCATTTTACTTGAAAAATTATTCGTTGAGAGAGCTGATGGAATCCCAAGGAAACCGATGGAGGTAGTGATTCCTTTATCGCGGGGGAGTATTAAGACAAAAGACAAGTTTGGCACAGAAACCGCAAAGTGGTTACTTTTTTCTATGTCAGCACTTGTAACACAAAATTGCTACTTGCGAGTACCTACTTGTACTCGTGCCAGGATGAGTACTCGAGTAGATGAAAAACAACGAGGGCAACGAGTAGCACACACTACGCGCGAGTACTCGAGTACTCGTGTTACTCGCCCAGCATTGATTGTGAACTAGTGGTTTTGTGTCTACCTTGACCAAGGTCTTGTATCAGCTGTCTGACATAGAACCCTCCTCCACAGTGGATATCTGCAATTGAAAAATGGGCATTAATTTTAAAATAAGTTTGCACATAATCTGTTTCTCAGACAAGTGATCCGCGGATCGCACGTTTTGCCTTTTTTCGCAGTCGATCCCTATACGTTTTGTGTTTTTCAAAAAAGTCAAATTTTGTGCATTTTGAAAATATGACCCCAAATGACCCCTACATGACCTTTGACCTCAGTAATCGATGAAGAATTGTGTCACTTAACGGTCACTGCATCCAAGTTTCAGCAAAATTCACGAAACCATGTAGAAGTTATGTACCCACTTTCAAAAACTTTATCTAAACTTCAACATACATATGGTCGTACGGGGATACGGACATACAGAATTTAGGACTGGCAAGTGTCCCCCAAAACTTTGTTTAGGCGACACACACCACCCACGTGTGTAAATGCCGGCAATCGTGGACGCCCCATTGTCCCTAGTCCTCTTTCCTTTGTTTGTAACTTTTTAGCGACAGCTCTCATTGGTTTTGTACACGATTTGAGATCGTGGACGTTCGGTCAATCGTGGACGTATTATTTGCGCCCCAATTCTTTTGTCCTACGTCCACGATTGCCGGTGTTTACATACCCACACACACACACACACACAAAATAATTTTTCTCAAAGTTGAACAAAGAAATTGACTGGAGTGGGGTTTCAGCCTGCAACCTCCGAATTGCCGTATGTTTGCGGTTCCCAATTTGTCAATATTCTCGTTCAAAGGGCGTCAGTCAGAAGCCATAAACCTGTATACCATGTAGCCAGAGATCACACCCGAAGTCACTACACTATAGCAACATTAGCAATGCTGCAAACCCAGGAAAAAGCAAACAGTTGAGGACATTTTGTTTAGCATTTATCTGCCTAGGAAATATAAAAAAACTTGCAAGGAAATTGAAGAAAACAAAATGATAGAGGATGTTTGAATTCCTCATCGGAAGAGCTCACATCTTTCTGTACTCTGTTGAAAGAATTTCAAATTTGAAATGGATTACAAGAACTGAGCTACATGAAGTCATTGATGCAATACACGTTTTCAGAGATTTAGATAAATTTTGAGACAATGTTAAAATCGAAAAAAGACGGAGCATTTTAGCAAGTTGTAAACATTGGTAGCAAAAAAATAAAGCATTTAGTGATGACAATATAATGTCTCTTGATTGTATTAGACAGATACAAGTGACTTGCCTAGAGTAAAATAAGGTGGGGAAAACTGGACACATTCCAGACTGTGTACGGTGACAGGCCTGGCTGGTTTGGGTGCGATGGGCTCACCGCGTACAGCCAAGTCTGACATTCGGACACCTCCCACCTTCAGAGCTGAGTACCTAATACATGGAGACATAGAATATATAACACATGGTCAATGATGGGCCTTACTAAGGCTGTAACTCCAGCAGGTCGATAGGCTACGTGACAAGTTGGCTATTTAGCTGATAGTATGCAAGCAATGGGGAGAAGTAGCAGTGTCGTTCTCCATGGAGTAAAACCTAAGCAGGGTGGCACAGCGGGCAAAAGGCCCGGTTTCAGTTAGTTTATAATGCACGTGCATCAATTGGTAACGGAATGGTTCTCGGACTTAATTTCCCTTTCAAAAAAAAATCCTCCAGTGTCATGAATGAGAAGAAAAGGGAGAAAAGTATTTCATCGATCATCAGGACTTGATTAAACACAATTTCGGGAAAAAAATTCACTTTCGGTAAAAAAAAAGGATGAAACTGTGAAATTCCTCCATGATTCGAACCCGGAACCTGCAGCATTAAGACCACGCAGCATTAAGACCACACAGCATTAAGAACGCTACAGTGAAACCACATTGACCACTGTGGAATATAAAGTACGTGTACACGTAAAACTTATTCCGAATCAGGTGACATATTGCGTATTAGGGTCAATGACTTAACCGAGATGCATAAAATATATTTGCGCCCCGGTTAGAGCGCTGAAGGCATGACTTCACAGAGGGCGCTCTTTCAAGTTATCAGAGGATATTTTTGAGAAGCCAACTCTGCGTTCACACCTTCCCTGGTCATGCTAACATTTCTATCGAGTTTCAATCTGACAGTTTTACCATGATTATTAAAACACTGAGAAATCCACAAAATGACAAGGTCTTTCTTGTCAACTGTAAAAAATAACTGATTGTTAAAACTTTAGTACATGGACATCTAGGGAAAACATTAGTGGGGTAGTGTAACGTTTTAACAGGGTGGCCAGCCCTCATGGACACCAGTGGGTTTTTGCTCCAGGGCCTGAACAATTTGACATGTGAAAGCAGCTAAATGCACAAAACCATTGCAATACACCATAAACACATTGCAATACAACACTTTGACTACTTTGAATTTATAATCATGTATCAAGCTTGTGCTGCAATTGCCATGGGCGTTGCACTAACAATTTTTTTTCTCTGTGCTTGCTACACGGGGATGAATTTTTCCGGGCTGTGAAGGTATGGAATGCCCAAGTATGTTTTTTTCCAAAACATGAAAAAGCCTGGATCCAGGCTATCCACTCCGTTCACAAGTACCCCCTCACCGGCAAAGAAAGTACAGTTGGGGGTGACCCGCCGACGCCATCTTGCCTGACTGCAATTTTGCCCGGCTACTGCGTACCGTGTACATAGTACAAATCCCCTGGTGTACATGCGACACACACAAGGAACCAGCGAAATGTCCCGCCCATGGGACGTCATTGCTAGGTAAAAGGGCGCCCTCTTTTGTTGGCGCACGGAGCGCATAGCCTGAAAACTGGCATCCCTGCATCCCTCCATAGCATGCCTCGCAAAAACCCCCCACAGAATTAGCAATTGCCAGGGACTGGTTGAATCAGAAAGTACAATTTGTATGGTTGGGCTTGTTGATTCATCAGTAGATGGCTGCGGGAATTTGGAGGCTGAGAGATTAAAAAAAAAAAACAATTCACGGGATTGTAAGCACAATGCCTAAATATTATTGAGGGAAATCCCAACAAATAAAACATTTACTCACAAAGGAGGGATCTGCATGATATTGCCCACATAGCGCTGGAGAGATGATGTAATCAGGTTCAGTGTAACGTGATCTACAAAAATGGAAAAACAACTATAAAATATTTGTTTCCAAAAGAACTTGGTAACATTTACGGTTTATTTAAACTGCTAGGTGGAGTAAGCCGTCGGAGAATTTGGAACAAACAACACTGGCTTACGTTCTCAGCAACCACCCAACTTTGTTACTCAAAACTCGTTTTGCTCACAACTTAATTCACTTCACCTGCAGGGTAGGTGGATCGAGTAGTGCAATGCGCATTCAAAGTAAAGCATTATAACGCGGCATCCTCGTAACTTGAGTGAGCATTCCAGAGCATTAAGAATGTTTCATACTTCACACAAACTAAATGTGAAATGAATCTGATGCCACAAAACACTTACGGTATCAATTGAAACGCATTGTACTTTGCAGTACAAATTACAAAATAAATACTTGCAAACGAACAAACGTACGAACCAGCCTGAAGGTGAATGTACTGTGCACAACCTTATAATGTGATTATGGGCTCCGTGCGCTAACATAGAGGGCGCCCTTTTACCTAGCAACGACGTCCCATGGGCGGGACATTTTTAGCTGGTTGACCCGCACCGCTCCTTGTGTGTGACGCACGTACACCAGGGAATTTGTACTATGTACATCATTGATCTCCATTAGTCTTACTAATGGAGATCAATGATGTACATGCAGTGGTACGGCCGCGCGTTGCGGCAAAATTACAGTCAGGCAAGATGGCATCGGTCGGTCACCCCAAACTGTACTTTCTTTGCCGGTGAGGAGGTACTTGTGAATGGAGCGGATAGAGTTATAGTGCTTCATATGGCAACTTCAGGCTGCTACACATTACCTGCCGGTGATCGCTGTGTGATTTTCCCCAAGACGTCCTGCGTGTCTGTGGATGTGCCCAGACAACCGACTGCTCGGTATCGCTGCGAGAGAACACAAAACAACTCTACCATTAACCCTGTCAGTGTCATTTGACTTTATACAGTCCCCAGTGGCGGATTCAGGGGCCAATTTTATGGCTCTGCTTACCGTTAGCTAAAAATCCCTGCTTAGTGTAGCAGAAAATTCCACACTTACGGTAATCATATTTTACGGGTTGGCAAAGGAATGTTTCCTTATGCGCATGCGTACATCCCGTAACTGAGGATTCTGTGGTTACAGGGTTATTTTTTTTCTGCTAGCGCTGTTAGCACAGAATGGAGATCATAAGCGCTGAAGGCTGGTGGCAATTAAGCAATATACATAAATACCTACAGTTTACCCATTCCTATTGGTCGTGAGACCGGTTTTAAACGGTTGATGAAGACCGGCTGGCTGGTATTAAACACCTTTCCAGTGTCACATGAAATTTGGACTCCTATAATCCAGTGCCTTTTACCGTTTTATTAGTTGAACGTTCACAATCCTCACGTAGGCATGCGCAACACTACCAGTGAGTCAGTATTTCAAAGTCCTAAATTCACAATACACCGGCACAGCTGCGTTCTGTGCCACCTTTTTTTTTTAGCCATATGTTATTTCTGCATATTGTTATGTTTTTACACCAGCTATTCTTGCCTTTGATAACCTGTAATTTGTGTCAAGTTTTTAACTTTTAATCTTTTTAATCTATTTTCTTTTAAAGTTTTTTGTCACTGTGTTCTGATATTTTTTCATTACAAATTTGTATCTATGTTTTAATTTATTTTTGTATGTTACCATTCAAGTTAGGATTGACAGGCTATCGAGTCACAGTGTTTTATTATTGTCAATCCTGGCCAGCTTGGATTGGGCTGTTTCTGTTAAGTTTTGTTTATTTTTGTGGATTGCTTGTAGTATGCTTGTAATTTGGCTGAATAAATAAGAAATAGTAATAACCCCCTCTGAACACCCCAGCTCAGATATTTCAGCAGAAGCTTGTGGATTTTGTTTAACTGTGACCAAAACCAATTGAGTGCCCTCCTTGAAAATGAGGACCCACTAAAGTGCCCCCTGCAAGTTGGCCTGTACATTGTACTTGTACTTTCAACCCAGATTGGGTACTATCTTACCTTGTTTCCCTTCAGTTGTGATGCCAAGAGTTTTGTCCCCAAGCCTACCCCTATAACCAGAACCCCTGAGGCATTTGAGTCCAGGGTGCCACCGTGGCCGATACGGAGCTTCTTGTAAGGTGCCCCCACCTTTCCAGACCTGGTGTGGTGATTGCTGTACTCCTGTAGCTGTTTCTTGTGCTCTACAAGTGTAAGGAACAAGAGATACTTTACAAATAATGAATGTTTATGAGTGCAACGGTAAGAATAAATTCATGAGGGGAAATAGAGCGAGCCCATAGAGCTATATTTAATTATTATAGAGCGTTAACTCCTCATTCTTGAGTGCGGTGACGCTTTGAAGCCGTCCTGGGTGCAGACATTTTGAATTCATTTGCGTGTTTGTAGAACATAACGAAATTAGATGAATTGAATTTTGAAAGTGTACTCTACATGCAACGCGCAAGTAGAACATACGCAAACAACTTAAGCGCGTCATTGACGGTTCAATAAAGTCACGGCGAAAAGCATCTGCAGCGGAGGGACGCGCACGCATTGCGCTGTTTGCGTAGAGCAAAATGACACACTCATTTGCTGATCGTGCGTTTCGGTTTTGGGCGTATCGGCTTCGATGACGCACCGGTATGGAATACAAACGCAGATATGCAAATAGCCGTACAAAAGCTGTACAAAATTTCTAGTTCTCCATAGGTTTGTGCACAAACATGGATGCGCCCATTAGGGCCCAATTTCATAGCGCTGCTTAACAGCCGACTTTGTGCTTACCGAGCCTCCATCTATTTTAGGGTCCGTTAAGCAGCAAGCGCAGCAAAATCACGCTTAACCCATGAAGAAAACTTTGCTTAAATCAGTGACGTAACAATAGAAATCTCCATGCGCACGCAACCGTTAGCATGAAATAGTGCTTAAGCAGCAGCATGATTTTCTGCTAAAGTAAGCACAACTTTTCTGCTTACTGTTAAGCAGTGCTATGAAATTTGGCCCAGGCATTACTTTGTACATCGAGTTAGCGCTCTGGTAATTTAATATATCTCTATGAGCGAGCCACATATTTAAAGAATTTTTTTTTTTTTCTGATTTGGTCACTTTCTTTTTGACTCACCCTTAGTTGGGACCAATGCCATTAATTATTGTTATGTGACAACTACAGCAATTCATTTTTATGAGCCAAACTTTTTATGCTACCTTTGGTTAGGATTCGCTTGAGTTGATTGACTACGCCAGCAGATGTGATTCCAGTCGGTTTGACGACTGCAAAGAGGCCGTTAAGATTGGATGCCAGAGACTTCATCGCAGAGACACCACTGCACATCATCACAACACTGCAGGAATTAACAATGCAACACTTGTAATGATGATTACATCTGTTTTTGTGTTAACTGTGACGTTTTTGGATTTGTGTATTTTCACTAGGATTAAAGGGACATTACATCACATCACTTTTTAGCGTTTATGGGAGCATCGCCTGTCTGGCCGTATTACACAGCTTGTGATAGTACTGCACCAGTCAGGGCTCTGGAGTGCTCTGAAATGTGCAAAACTAAATCAGGCCAACTTTACTCACAGTTTAGCCAGCAAATTTCTCCAAAAATTCCACTGGGGCAAAGAAAATGTCCTCAGCATTTCACCAACCAAGTTTGCAGACTCAATTCAATTTTTAAAGGAGACTTTTCTTCAATATTTTGCACATGAGTGGGAAGTCAAGTGATTCCAAAATGGGGCTAAAAACTAGACTGGTATATGTCCAACCATGGTCCGCCTATTTGGAAAGACTGACCCCTTCATTCAGTGTCAATAGTCTGGTGGCTTTACTATGGAGAAATGTGTAGTAAATTGAGACTAGTTCCCGCTTCATGCCACATGTTTCTTAAATGCTTTTGGCATGGTTGATTGATGCAGTACTGAAGCTGTGTTGGACTGGTTGTTTTAGGTGCCAGTCTATTTTCTTGTTTTGCATGTTTTCAACACCTTAAGTTTTGGGACTCTCATACACAGTATTGAGAGTCCAAAATTTTCGGACTAGTACTGTACTAGTCCTAGCTGGAGTTACCCAGCCCTAAGTTTTATCATTGGGTTGTCTATTAGGGCTGGAGCGAATTTTTCTCGTAACTTGTAGTATAGGCAAAAAATTTTGGAAAATGTTCAATTTTGTCCCCATTACACACTAATTGCAACTACAACTCACCCCAAATTCGCTACAGCCCTAATAGACAACCCAATGATAAAACTCAGGGCTGGGTAACTCCAGCTATACTAGTCCCATAAATGTGACTGAAATACTGGACTACCTCCATATGTTCATGGTCTGTGCATGGATAGTCCCATTGCTAGGGGAGCCGAAAATCAATTTAAGATCAAAATTATTTTGTCACCAGAAAATTACCCCAGCTATGACTGCTAAATAGCAAAAACAAAATGTACCTTCAGAGGTGTAGTTATCCAAAAATCATGGTAATTCAACAACGAATTCCGACGGTTTTGAAAAAGCAAAATAGTCACAAGGCCAATGGGGTCAGGGAACCAGACTGGAGCTTTAATCATCCACTGAGCGTGCGTCAACTTTGGCAAAGTGCACCGCGGCTGTTGCCTGTCATTCCAAAATCTTTGGAGTACCCGGATGTACTACGCGGCTGCAGGTGAAGAGCGCAGACAAGAGAGCTCCAATGTAGTCCAAACATTTTTGAATTTTGTGACAAGGATGTGTCCCGAATTGAAGGTGAAATTTCTCTTTTCTTCCCAAAGGTATGTGAACCTAACCACCACCATTTGTATTTCAATTTTGGGGGTGAAATCTGAAGATTTTGATAGGGGGTACAAGTGAAAATGGTCAAAATAAGTTATTGGTATCGCCATGTACTCTAAGATCCTAGGACCTTACTACTAGTATCATGGAGGAATACCTCCATGCTAGTATTACTAACTATCGCCCGACCATCTCCAAATGTTAAAAAAGGCGATTCGTAGAGTCCTATTACTCGGAGTCGGACTAGAACATACGGAGGTAGTCCAGTATTTCAGTCACATTTATGGGACTAGGCCGTAGTACTGTACAGCCAGAGGCAGTCGGGCTTGCCAGATACTAGCCCCATAAATGTGGCCAATTTACTGGACTACCTCCGTAAACATAGGCCACACAGCCACCTGTACAAAAACGTGTCGCACTTTGTCAAATTTTGATTTTCACATTTAGGCTTAGTTTGTAGGTTTTTTTTGCTTTAGAAGCTTACTCACCCTCTTTATAGGCTAATCAGAAAGTGCTGCCTTTTTCAGATGTCTATTTTTTGTGAAATTTCATGTTGAAATTTTGATACGCAAACGTGTACAAATGAATCTGGAAGTTTCACGAAAAATAGACATCTGAAAAAGGCAGCACTTTCTGATTAGCCTATAAAGAGGTAGTCCAGTAAATTGGCCACATTTATGGGGCTAGCCAGATACATGGGAATCTAAACTTTCCTACATCTACATAGGATCTACATCTACATGTACGCAGGTACTCAGCAAAGTCCACTTCTGGATGTTAACGCTGAGGTGAAGCTTAAGGTGCAAGTGATACTACTACTAGTATTACATGAGTACTAGGCGTAGCACTTACCTAGTACTGTACGGCCAGAGGCCATGGAGCCAACTTCAACATTATGAAGTTGGTGCAGAGCTTGGAAGAGAGGAATTAGAGCAAGGAATGCATGGACGGAGGCAGTCGGGCTAAAACAAAGAACGAAGTGGCTATCGTTACGGCAGCCGTTGTTTAGCGCCCTCTACGATACTTTTTTGATACGCACGCAGGTATATAATTATTTGTTTCCCCACGTTTTAGCGAGCAGTGCGATAGCTCAGTCGATAGAGGGTAGGATTTTGCACCGCGAGGTTGAGGGTTCGCATCTCAGTTTTGCACTCGAATTTTTTTCCTTTTCTAACCTGAGGCTTTGGAGGATTTTTTTAAAAGGGAAATAAAGTCCGAATTTCATAACATTCAAATTCACTTTTTTCCTTCTAATTTTATATTTTCTTCTCATGTTTTTATAAAAGTTGCAGTCTACCGTAACGATAGAAAATGGGAAATGCGTTACGGCTGCCGTAACAATAGCCACTGCGAACAAAGAAAACTTGACAAACTCAGACAGACTCACTTACCATGCTTACCGTTAAACAGGGTTGTTAAAAAACATCCTCCTCAATCTCTACATCACAGCAATTACAATCTCACAATTGAAATTATTTCGCGGTCGATTTTAAAAGATGCCAATGACGAGAGACTGCGGTCTCTAGCTCCCCGCTACTTGACTTTTATTTAGTTTTAAGACTTTTGAAATGAGCATGCTGGAAACAGGTCAACTCGTACGCGAACCAACTCGTACGCGAGTCAACTCGTACGCGGATTGGTCAACTCGTACGCGAGACAACTCGTACGCGAACCAACTCGTACGCGTGCCAACTCGTACGCGAGCCAACTCGTACGCGAGCCAACTCGTACGCGAACCAACTCGTACGCGGGCCATTTTCCATTTTAGGAGTGGTTTCGAGGATTGGGTTGGCATGGTTGGGAAGAATTTGGGAATAGTGTGACGGTTAGTCCGTAGTTCAATGTGTGACCGTTGTGTGTGATTGGGAGTGAGAGAATAGACAATTGCACTAACTGAAAACACAATCGGTCCTTTTCAGGGCCACCACGCATTTGCAGTGATATTAAATAAAATTCATTTTTTTTTTAATAAATCAAATTCACCTCCCCATTGTTTTATTTTACAAAATATAATTTGGAGACATAATAATTAGGACTAAAAATTATCGGACCAAAGCTAAAAATTAATTTTCGGATCCAAGAAAAAAAAATATTTTTAGGGCAACCTCGAATTTCTGGTGAAATTAAATAAAATTCTAATTTTAAAAAATCAATGAAATTCACCTCCCCATTGTTTTAATTTACAAAATATAATTTGGATACATAATAATTAGGACTAAAAAATTATCGGACCCAAGCAAAAAAATAATTTTCTGACCCAAGAAAATCGCATTTGACCCAAGAAACCTCGCATTTCCGGTGAAATTATATAAAATTCTGATTTTAACAAAAAATGAAAAAATCAACTCCCCATTTTTTCTTTTTTTACAAAATATTATTTGGATATATAATAATTAGGACTAAAAAACTATCTGAACCAAGCAAAAAACTGGCGGACACTGTCCGTACAACTGTATAAGCATGCGTGATGCTATATTCCTTTTTTTTTATAGTAGCTCCTTTTTATACAATAGACCTCGCAAATATCGGTGTTTTCTTGTCATTTTACTTGTCTAACCAACCAGCAATTATACCGCGGCATACACAGGTTACAGTGATTCAATCATGCATTCTTTATACACAGTGCGCGGTGCGGCGGGAACCAATCATACTGGTTATCGCGAAGACAACTTCCCAATCAATCAAGCGAACTTGTAAAAAAACAAACAAACGCAGAATTCTTCTACTGTAAGTAGCACTGGCGGATTCAAAAATCAACTACATTTAATTTGAAAATCTCCACCTTTCAGAAAAGGTAAAATTATGCCGACCTACCGTACCGAACCTAATTTCATCTGTCCATGTGAGCTAAACCAATCGTCTAAACTCACGCGTACGAGTTGGTCCGCGTACGAGTTGGTCCGCGTACGAGTCGGTCCGCGTACGAGTCGGTTCGCGTACGAGTCGGTTCGCGTACGAATTGACCCGCGTACGAGTTGGTCGCGTACGAGTTGGTTCGCGTACGAGTTGACCTGTATTCACAACCCAGTCTCCTTCTTATTTTGTGTACATGTCACAATTGACCAATTGAGTGCATATCACATTTTAACGTACCGCCCTCTTCCGACCTACATCGGCAGAGAGGTCAACACAACCGGATGTTCGCTGTACACGTTGGCAATGGTGTCATAAAAAATTCAGACTCACTTGAAAATTGGCCTTCCACAACCGGGCCGTACGCGCACGTCGTACGTGTTTAAGCACTCATAACAGCATGCGCAATATTGCAACGTAATATTATTTGAGTCTTTTTTTTTTTGAGTCGCACATTCATGCTACACCGTTGGCGCGAAAATTTAGTCCTGAGCTGACAATAATGACATGGCTGAGTGACCAGGTGAGGTAGGTACGTGACGGTCACTCCAGTTTCACTCAGATTTTTTTTTTTAATTAAAGTTTGTGCATGATATAAATTCCTACTGATATTCAGCTTATGAACTTGGGACAGTAGGTATGGATTCGCATGATCCAGATGATGACAAAGCAGCCAGTAGCAGTGGAGGCCACGGACACGATGGAGGTCATGGAGGTATGAGACTAAGTAGGCATGGTAGGCAACGTGGCGTGTTGCTTTTTCCGGCGTGCCACGTTTTATTCCTCCATAATCAATCCAAGTTTAGTTGAACCTTAAAAAGTTACAACTATTTAAGGCGATCGTGAAGTGTATGGCCCCTGTTTTGTTTTTATCAAATTAGAGTCAAAAATATTTTTAATTGCTCATGCTCAAAAATCACCTGACCTTTATAATCAGAAGCAGATTATTCTCGTATCTGAATTCTAGTAATGACATGAATGACACCCTTTTTGCAATTTTGAACAGAATCTTGGGATAGAACAACTTTCCTGTGGGGTTTGTGCCTTGCAATTCAGCACGCCGTGCGTGCCCGTTGAGACAACACGACTCAGGACAACTCGACCGTTGAGACAAACTCGACTGTTGAGACAACTTGACCGTTGAGACAACTCGACCGTTGGGACAACTCGACCGTTGGAACAACTCGACCGTTGAGACAGCTCGACTTAATTTAAATGTATACACGTGGAGCGGAAAAAGTTGCATAAATCTGTGGCAGGACCAGTCCCGGGCGCGGCGCGGGCATACTCGATGCGCAGAGGGTGCTCCGATCCGGTGGCCGTCGCGTCGGGCCGGCGCCCGCGAGGACCAGACCCGGCCCGGCACGCGGGCACGTTGACCGGCACGGCAAGAGGGCGCACAGGCCTGGCACAAACGCTGTCACTGTGCACGATATGGCCACGTTGACGGGGATAATTGCGTGCACGGGGTATGGACAAGTTGACTGGGGATAGGTGCGCGCACAGGCCTGGCAAAAACGATGCCACCTTGTACGGTACGACTGGGGATACGCGCACAGCCGCCGTCAAAATCCCCGGTACTATCCCCAATACTAGGGCCAAAATCATGCGAGTCGACTTGTCTCAACGGTCGACTTGTCTTTCCATTTATCGCACATGTACGGTCAAGTTGTCTCAACGGTCGAGTTGTCTCAACGATCGAGTTGTCTCAACGGTCAACTTGTCCCGAGTCGAGTTGTCTCAACGGGCGACTTGTCTGACCCCCAAAAAATCAAAGCCCTGGCCTTATGACATAGGCCTACCTGTTTATTCAGAATGTCGCCAACCAGTTTTGTAGGTCCAATAATTTTAAAATGGATTTTGTTCCGTTATACTAGAACCGGGCCCTACACTACACGATCGCCTTATTTATAACTTTTTGATTTACTTGAAGTTATTTATGATAATTTTGTCAGTGCATTCTTAATCTTATTCCTCCATGGTCAGTGTGACAGTTCCGGACATGCCGGTGTCGTGCCAAAAACCGTCCAGTGCCAAATAGTGTCCGCTGAGCATGCACAGTAGGCGCCAGACACTATTTGGCATGTAATACATGCCAGATAGTGTCCGGTGCCAAATAGTGTCCGGGCGCCGTCGATCGAGCGAGAACAAGGGCGCACGTACGTACGTCCTGCCGGACGGTATTAAGCTGAAAAAATCGGACAGTATTTTGCAGGAAAAATCGGACAGTATTTTGCAGGAAAAATCGGACAGTATTTTGCAAGGGGGAATCGGACAATATTTGGCAGGGTGGGGAACCGGACAGTATTTGTTGGCAGGAAAAATCGGACAATATTCAGTGGCGGGGGAATCAGACAAGTTTGGCAGGGGGAATCGGACAGTATTGAGCAGGAAAAATCGGACATTTTTTTCGCAGGGAAATTGTACACTATTTGGCAGGGGGAATCGGACACTGTTTAGCAGGAAAAATCGGACAGTATTTGTCAGGAAAAATTTGACAGTATTTGGCAGGGGGGAATCTGACAATATTTGGCAGGAGGAATCGGACAGTTTGGCAGGAAAAATCGGACAACATTTGGCAGGAAAAATCGGACAGTATTAGTGGGACTCTGGAGAAACCGTAAAATATAACGTTGGTTATAATGCTACACACAGCACAGTACGTACTACACACACTTCACACGGCGTTAGGCCTACGTACGTACTGCATGCCAAACAGGTGAACTGACGCGAAACAAAGACACAAACATTTTGCACAAATATAATGTTTAAACTATTAGGGAAACCAAGTCAAATAGTTATCACAGATAACAAGGAAAACGTTAAAACAGATTGTAAAAAGCAAATTCAGGTGAAAAGAGATCTTTTTCTATACGATGTATTGACAGCTCGACAAGGCACGCAATAGGATGCACGCTAAGCGCGGACACTATTTGGCAAGCGTCCGTAAACAATGTGACGTCATAGACGCATGACCAATGAGATCGCATTATGCTAATTAGCAGACACTATTTGGCACCGGACGGTTTTTGGCACGACACCGGATCACAATTCCAGTTCCAGATCACTCATTTAAAAAAAAAAAAAAATTAGGCCGCTAAAGCTGAATTTCTAACAAACATTTTGGAAAAAATTCCATATATTGACACCATTTTTTTCCCCCTGCAATTACCTAGGGCCTATCTGCCAAATGCGATGTGGGGCCTTGGTAAAGCGCAGCAAATATCGATGCCACAGTATATGTCTGTTGGCAGCGTTGTATTGCAAATCATGCCTTGAACAACCAGATTGTTTTGCAATGAATAAAGCAGACATCACAGTTTCGGCATCACAGTTTTAACGTTTGACGGGGTGCAAAAAATATGGCCATCTGTGTTCATGTAGGTATACGTATACGCATAACATGTGACCCCTAAAAATGGATGCTTCCCTGGGCGGAGCCCCATGGACAGCTTACCCCGCAAAATTGTTTGTTTCTCAAAACACCAAATACATGTAAAAGTACAAAAATGTCCATCAAAACACGCCCATTTCCCACAGAACCGCTGCACAGTTTGTCCCTAACCTCCATACTGTACCTCTTTACACACTCACGTAAATTGCACCCAACAAACATCAGTGGAATCATGTCAAACATAATAAACCTTTAAGTAATGTTCAAATATAAAACAATGTATTATGTACTTTTCCCCAAAAATACATGTAGTTATTGTATTTTTTTCTATTCTGAACAGCAAAAAGAAAAAAGGGTTTCTTCTTGCCACCAAAGAGAAAGACATTGTGTAAAAGTACGAGACCTTCTACACAAACTAGTGAACGTCGTACAAAGACGAAGTACAGAAACAGAAGACATAATCCTGCAGACGGAAGAGGCAAGTAAATGCATTTCCACTGTTTTGCCCATGCCTATAGTGTGTCAAGTTGAGAAAGATACTCAAACAAATAAAATAAGGGCAAAGTGTCGCTCAAGAAGAATATATGTAGATTTTGATTAGACTCAGCAAAATTTGTTAGGAACTTTATTTTTAGTTGTGTCAAATGGTTGTACATGTACATGTACCTCAAAATGCCGCTCTCCTTTCGAGAACAATGTACTTGTCCTGTATGTATTGATCATGGTCGGTGATGTCCCAACCAATGTGGGGGACAGCTATTGCGGTGCCCCCCCCCCCCCTCAATATTTTGCAATGGGTCATTGACATTCACACACCAGTGTGTGCATCATAACTCGCAAACATCATCACACATTTTCAAAAATTTCCCAGGAGACACAAGAGGCGCCAAATACAATTTTCCAATATTATGAACTCTCTAATAACAGAGAGTTAATAAGATGTAAATAGCCATTCAACGATACTTCTAAAAAAGGCCAAAACAAAAAAATTAGATCTGCGGGAGGGGGGTAATGTCCCCCTGCCCCCTTAAAATTTGTGTGCTTGGAAAGGACTAGTCTGGGCAAAAGCCATAGTCTATAATTTTTGAACAGATTCCCTTATTTATTAAGCAAGACAACCGCATCTTGATCTCTAGATTTTGACCAATCAGCAGGCACGGTCTATTTCGGGTCTTTGGTCATTCGCTTTTTGTCGCGTCTAGACATGGATAAAAAACGTGGACACAGCAACAAAGGCTGTGGTCACAGGCTATGTATTACGTTACGCTACATGTACATGTACGTACATGTATGCGCGCAGCTGTTGTTGTATTAACACTGCATTCGAAGTGACCAATCACAGTTTTAGTCCTGATTTGGGAATAAAAAGGACGTCACAAATTGGTAAAGTTGACTCTGATTGGCTGAGGCGCGCATCACATATATCTGCATGCTTTGATATCAGACGTTAGACCATGTAGACAGGAGATGCGCTCCATGGGAAACGGGTGATATGCTAGGAAAGTACAGGGATTTGAGGGAAAATGTGTTTTGCTCCTCCAGAAAAATCCTTGCGACGACTTGTCCCCCAACCTTTGTGAGAAATTGTCGCCACTGCTATTGATTAATTGTATTATGGAAATGCATAATTGTTCAAAGACAAACAATAACAACAGTGACAAGTACATAATTTGATATTAATTTGAATATTTGTTCTCAGATGTATAGTTGTTTGTCGTGTTCTGGAATCGTTGAAGCAAGTTGTCTACCTAAATTCCTCATAATGGGTATAAGATGCAGTGAAATAAACACAAAATAGTTCTTAGTTATGAAAAATATGGATAATATTTATAGGCCTAATCTGTAAACACTATATTCGTCTTTTTAGGTGCACAGAAGACTGGACAAGATGAACAGTATGCAGCCAACGTTGATTTGAGTCAAGGTAACGTTCATTTGAATTGAAATACATAAATTTGTTCAGATATCTTTCAGTTTTCCTGACAACTACATAACATGTATTCTGCCCGACACTAAATTACATATTGAAAATGAAGTTGGTTTTGTGTAAAGGAAATGTCAATATTAATGTCATAGGTGACGAGCATGCTTTGTCTGTTTCAATTTTTGTGTGGCAGTTTCAGATGTAAATAGATTCACTCGTTTGCACGCTTGGTTCTAAAACTCATCCCCCCCCCCCCCCCCCCTAGCATTGGGGTAGAAAATGAAATAGACAAAACTTATAATATGAAAATTGCGGCTCTTTGCTTTACTTTTATTGTTTTGATGGGCAAAATCATAATCTTCAGAGCAATATTGTGATTTACATGTATCCAACCCTGATCTACCTTGTACTTCCTGGATACACGTGGAGTCACAAATATTTACTTTCTGTCTGTTGCCATCTGATCAGTTACATAAATGTACATGTGACCGTATATGACTTGAAGTAGTTTTGTAAACCAATTTTTACATCAATATTTAAATTTAATTCACATTTTTTGGAAGAGTTTAATTTGTAAAATATCCAATTTTTAATAACTCATGAACCTCAATACCTATAGGTTGTCTGGTTTGAAGATTCAGAATGTCTTTGCATGATCATTTAAGGTCATTGTTGACAATTGCACAAAATACATGTAATGCTCTTTCATCAGGATACACATCAATTGACCTATCACAGTAGAATTGCGTTAGAATCCTGTCAACGCAGCTTGTGAAATATTGTCCAATTACATGATACACAAATCGATGCGGAACGCGCAAAAATCTGAGACAAACAAAACTTAGTGTACAAAAATTACATACATGTAGGGTTGTCTAAGGGGTATGTCAATTGGTGCTCATGAGAGTTGCACAGTCAGTTGTTTAGAGGTTGCTGATGTCCAGAATATACTCTTAAATGTCATGTCATGGCCATAGTCAAATAGGTATGAATTCAGCACTAAGGTTCCTAGTTTACCTACGATTCACTTCAGGTAATTGTACATGTAATTGATACAAAATGCACACTGTATAAGATATTTTCAAACATGTAAGAGTTGTACCTAACAGAGTTGCACTAAGATAATTGCAACTTTTGGAACGGCACAGCAATTTCGCTATTTTCTTTCTTCCCCCCCCCCCCCTTTTGTGGACTGTCATCAGGTTACGAAATGTTGCAGGCATCTTTAGAGGATCTTATTCGAGACACTTGTCCTCAGACTGACGAAGCATCATCCTCCAGATCAAGCTGGTCCTCTCGAATGGAAGCCGTTGAGGGGAATTGGAAGGGCATTCGGCCGCTAATTTTCCAACATGTTTTGGAAAGCCAGGCAGTTCCCATTGAACCTGAATGTCAGAGATGTGAAAACAACCAGGCAACAGTGAGGTGCACAGACTGCCCAGTTCCTGTGCTGTGTTCCAAATGCGATGTTGAGTTGCACACTTGCAAACCGTTCCATCACAGAGAGATGTGGATGAAGTCCTACTTTGAGAGGATTCCGCCTTGTCAAACAGTGGTGATTGGTGACAGTGGTCAACATTTGCAGAGCTTTGGTATGATCATTACATGTGCTTGCAGCTAACATGTGCTTTACATGCACGATACATTGCTCTTTGCGCCATAGTCTTAGAACTAAAATCTATGAAAGTAAAATTTGACAATAAAAGTGGAATACTTACATCGCTAAAATGTTGCTTAAATTCAATTTCCTACCAATCTACTCGGTACCTGCCAGAGTATATGAAGTACACTCTCTGACACCTTTAGGTAAAAAGATAATGGAACTTTTATCCGAGATAAAAAACTGCATAAATTCGGTAAAATACAGAGAAGATGGCTTACTATAAATTTTAAAAATATTGAGGTTGTTTTGAATTTTTTTGTAGCCATTTTGAATTTGCATACATTGCTGCCATCTTGGAAAACAAAACAAATTATAAATAAAAATTCAGCCTCCTTAATTTGAAGAAACCAGGGAAACCTAAATGATTAATGGTAAAAAAAGGATGTATTCTTATTCCAAACTATTCTCCCTATACATCTATGCAGATCAATATTTCCCTGTGAAATTCCCAAGAAGATGTCAAAAGTGTTCTGAGGATCAGTTTGAAACATCTCCAACTGCAAATGGAAGTCGGTATATTGTGTTGACTCTTCAAGGTAAGAAATAATGTCATTTAGCAATATTGTCTAATACTTGTTTTTCAAATTATAATTAATTCTAGTGATAATTAATTAGTTGTTGTCTTTTATTCAAATGAATCAATTGCTTGTTCACCTTCTTCTTTAATCCATCTCAATTGGTTTACATTCCAGTTTTTCTCAGTAAATGTCTTTCTCTTTAGCCCTGTTCACACTGGAAGTATTTCCTGGAAAATTCCTGGTAATTTCTGTTTGTCTGTTCATAGAGGCACTCTCTTGTCCTGGATTTTGTTTATCGTACCTTAAAGTCTTTGATCTCAAAAGGTCACCGAGGTCACAAATAGTGCGCCAAATATTTTGCGCCACAATATTTGCTGGTGTTGTAATACACTGCCTTTACAGGTTTTCTATAAAAGTATTTCAAAACAATTAAGTACAAAAGTACACACACGCAATTACATTTCCTAAACCGATTATGCATATTCCTTGAAAACAGTTTGCTTGGAGTTGCCAAATGGGTTTAGTGTGAACAGTTGCTGGGGTGGAGGTGAGGGAAAAAACGTCCTGTTGCCTGGGTGTTGTTATATCCTCCTTTTGTGTCCCTTGTTTCTATGCCCTACCCATATAATTGCAGTTGGCCCTGATGAATATTTAGAAGCTACATACCAGTGTTGCATCTCATAAGAAGTCATAACCAGCCTTTAACAAAGAGTAACCTTTTAATTACCTCAAGTCATCCCATCCCTGCCCATACAGATTTGTCAGTTTCTTTTCATCTGTGAACTTCGCTGCCTCATAACTTTACATTGTGTATTTCATGATAATGTTACTGTGATTATTTTTTGTTTGTTTGAACAGGAAGATATGACCTCAGGAAACACCAAGTTAGGTGTTCTTTGTGTGGATTCATCGACGCAAACAGTGAGGTCAGTGACATCATAGCCAATGGATTCTTTCCAGGCAATCCCAAAAACATTGGCACCATTGTGGAGGTGAAGCTGCTGAGATGGATTGATCTAATTATGAGTAACATGCCTGGCACTTCTCTCTCAGCTTTTGCAAAGGTGATTGAGGACATCAGCATAGAGGTGTGTTACTAGGGCGGTAGTATTTCTGTTGCTTGAAATATTTCCTTATTTGAATAGTAAAGTTCACTTAAAAATCTTCTCTTTTACCATATTACAGCTTCTTAAAAAAAAGTGTTTGCTCTCGAATTTTGGAAACTATTTGGTTGTTGCTGGAAAAAAAGAGTATTTGCTCTTGGTACAAGAATGAAGTATTATTTTCAATGTGAAATTGGACTTTAAAAAAAACCCCAATTGTCTCAATATAAATTTCTTGTTACTGGAGGCCATTAACCATTTCCATCCATGATGTGAATATTGAAGATTGTTATGTCAATTGTAAGAAAATCGAATCCTTTCCTCTAAGGAGAAAAATGTATTATGTGATTGTTATTTTTGCAAAAAGGAATGTTCATCTAGGCCTGAAGCCATAATAATACAATTTTATTTATTTAATAATACAATTTTGGTTAGAAGATGTTAAACTGTTGTATGTATTCTTGTTTGGTTTTTTTCAAAAATAATGAAGTAATGAAATGCCCTGTTACAAATCCAACCGGCATGTTTGCATTTGCAGGCTTTTATATGGTTTTAAAAAGGTGTTTAACATGGCACGCTCCAGTTCAGATATACTTGAAATCAAGTCGTTAATAGACAGCCATGCTTGTCAGCTGGTGACACCAAAATGAACCAGCATTGCACCACCCCACTGCTCAGTGTTCAATATTCAACTTACTTGACTTATAATCGACCCACACACATGTTTGTGCCTAGGTTTCATTGAACATTTCAACATGTTATTATATACCTACCCCCCATACACAGCTCTGTGTTAAGTGGTGCAGGCAGACTAAAAACTACCAATTTAATACCAGCTTGATTTCAAGTCTAGTAATAGAAAAGCATCATTGATTAGGTGCAGTGTGTTGATTTTTGTTTTGGCATAATGTCTCATTAGCAAGCTGACAACTAGTACAATACCAGAAATTATCTATTCAGTTTGGAATTCTATTTTTCAAAATTCCACATCCAAAACATCTTATGCGCTAACATACTCATTGAACATTTTTCTTGGAATTTATAATGGTCATTCAAATTATGCGACATTTAATCAGACTGGTACCCGGTATTATAGCACACAACATGAAGTTTGCAAATTTTGAAAAATTAATGAATATGAATGCAAATGCAACCTGTCTGACATTTTTCAAAGGGGTTAGTTTAATGCCCAGGTGTTAAAAAACATTAGCATTGCTCCTGTATTTTGGAAGTTAACTACCTACCATATATTAAAATTGTATGAATTTTTGGTCTAATAAATAACTAAACCATCATATTTCCGTCCCTTTTACAGGAAACAAGCATTAACCGCACAATGCTTTCAAGATGTTTGTCGGAGTACAGATACTGTGAAAGGGAACTTGCTCTGTGTCAAGGACTTGATGACATGAAATGTCCTCCTTGCGCTATAAAACAACATTCAGCACACGTGGATGGAAACTTCAAGGTGTACAGATATAGCAAAGTACCGAAGTAAGTTGAGCTAGTGGAACGTAAAATAATGTAGTGCCACTGGAGTGGTAGGTATAAATAGAATTCACTTCCTGTGTTCCATGAGCATGAGCACAATAACAAATATTTGCAAGCAAACTTGACTCACAGGTCACATGTAACGTGTACTATACAAACATTATGCGGCTAACTAATACACATGCATATAAAATGTACACATGTCCTTCTTGATTCTAGATTCTTGATTCATTACAAATGTGAGCTATTCTTGCAAAATCAGACTACATGTAAACTGGGCATAGGTCAAGCGGAGAAAAAATACAAAATACTGAAATTTGTTTGTTTTTTTCAATTTGCAAGATTTTCACACTTTTAACCTTTGATAGTGTAATACAACACAGTTGTGTTTTAAAGTTGTATAATAATATGTGAAATAAATGTGTTTATAAGAAAAAGTATTTACATCATTGTTTTTTATGAATGCAGGTCACAACTTTTTTTCTGCAATATTTCACTTTTGCACTTTTGATAAATGCAAAGTTTATATGGCTGTTAATTGACAACACAATTTTTGACTGAAGTGCAACCGTCAGTCTTATAATTAGAAATGAATTATCCTAAACCAGCAAACCCAAATTTAGATCGCTGCCCAGTTCTGTCTCATTTCGCAAGAATGCTTCACATTGTCAGTGAGCAACAGATTAGTAAATCATTGTTAGAGCCTTTATCCATTTTCAGTCTGATGTTGTTACCGACAGCACTCTTACTGCGTGGCTATATGTTCAAAGTAGGTGAGATTTAATTGTATGGAATAGGCATCTTTAGGACATTCGTGTGAAGAATACTGCAAGTGTATCTTTTGCAGTCATACTGATTAATTCCCTGAATTCTACACCAGCACAGTTACTCAAAGACATTGATCCTACCTGTATTGCAGCCATCCTTTGTGCTTGAACAAGCTACTTGTAGGATTTGTTTTGGTAACTCCATTGTCTACTGATATTTAGGAGATTGTAGCCATTGCAGATTTGGTGACAGCCATCATGCATGTGTTTTGTCTTGGCAGTTCTGCCCTCCTAACAGCTGCAAGGAAGCACTATATGTTGCTAAAATTTTAAACTTATTAATTAAGTATTCAAACTGTACATGTTTTATCAGGAAGATGTTAATTTATATGATGCTCTTTTCTTCAGTTTGGAAAGCATTTCAAATGGGTATGATCTCAAAATGTGTACATTTTTACCAATTTTTGTTCTGAATATTGATTTTATTGTCATTTGTTTTTACTGTGCTCACCATGGAGCACAATGACTTTGTCATTTTGAAAGAACACAGCGAGCAAATAATGTAGGTAGGTGGCTGAACATGTGTTTGGAATTAAAAGGTTAGTGCGGTAAACCTTCATTTCCGTAAATAATTATTTGTTACCCTCTGTTTACATATTTTTATTTTCATAGAGGCATTCAGAAACCATACTTCAGCGGTACATTCATTGAGAAGGATTCAGATGTTTCACATCACATGGACAAAGTTTACACGTATCGGCAAAAGAAAAACAAGGTAAACTGCTATGTATGTTTCCTGATGTGCAAATATATGCACATTTTAGGTTTTCAAAGCTCTTAATTTCCTGCACCATTTTTTTGTTTGGTTTCTAGCTGATGTCAAAGTTGGCATATGTGTTGCAAAATGTTATATCCCTATACATGTACACATTTCAATGACAAAAAATCACTGATTTAAATCCACTAGTACACTGCATAAGGATATCACATTTTTGAAATGAGCTGGAAACCAAACAAAACAAATATACTCCCAATTTTTGGATATTTTGTAGAAAACTTGGTGAGGTATAATTTTCATTGAAGTTTTTCTCGGGTCACATGATCCACAAGGTCAAATTAAAGGTCAAAGTTAAGGTCAAAAGGTCATCAAACTTCAAATAACTCCAATATGAAAAATAATGGTAAATTTGGATTTCTTATGATGTAACCTTTCAAAAGAAACCAAGATTAACCAATTTGGCCCACAGGTTATGGAGATATGGTCATTTGAAAATTGGCGGCCATGCCCATTTTGACCAAAACTGCCAAAAAATGGCGGGCAGAAGCGCGAAAAGTATTTGTCCGATGGCGCTTAAACTTGATATTTCAGCCTTTTCTGCCTAAATTACCCTATAAATTAAATATGAACTGATTTGAAGGGGGTGGGGTTTAAATTTTAATTTCTTTTGGGTGATTTGACATGGAATGACCCTATAGATTGAGGTGATGTCATAATGACATCATAATGGGAGATAATGTAGATTATCGAAGTTTGTTAGGTTATCACAAAATATCTGGAACCAAACATGCTAAATTCAAAGTTACTTTCTGTTAAGCTTGTTTGGTATAAATGTATGCACAAAAGTTGGAAAAAGTTTGACGCCATGGTGAATATCTAATTGTCATGAAACTTGGTGTTGGGAATAATAAAATCAACTGTGCAAAATCTGAACGAGGTGGGGATGATGTCATCATTGGTCCCAAATGTTCATCTTAGAAATGATATTTTAAAGCTGCAATGTTTAAGACCTAAATTGGGAGAATTACAAGAGCAGCAAATAACTCATAAAGCTGCAATTCAACCATAAAAAGCATGAAGTCATTAAAAAAATTAAATGAGGGAAAGCCTCGTCTGTAACTGATATAGAGCTGTAGTCTAAAATTCTATTGTTTTTTATATTTCTGCACACATTTTGCATGAATGATTGTAGTTGTCTTATGAAGTGACTGTAAAAGGCGTGTTCAGACTGCTTTGCTTTCTTGTCTTTATCCTGATCTTTGACCAGGGGATGGGCTTGCCTCATTAGACTTGTTATTGTCTGATTGTTACACACATATTTATTCTAAATATGATTGTTTATATAATAAAGTTTTTTTTTTCCATTTCAGAGGGACAAGGAGGAGGATCATAACAGCATGTGCGGCAAGACTACCTGGAAAGCTGCAAGAGTAGAAAGCAAATCAAGGTCAAAGCTAGATGAAGCTGGCCTTGACGTGGCGGGCTGTCGGCACAGCATTGCCCAAAAAGCTGTGAATATGTTCACTGGGGAAAAGTATGGATATCCCCACTATTTGCATGTCCACTTCCTGCTCCCCAAGCAGGTTACTTTCTTGTGGCTTGATGTGGCATGCAAATACTTTCCATGGGCTAGACAGGAGGAAATTACCCAGCTTGACCCCTCATACAAAACAGCGGTGACCGACATCAAACCAGCTTTGTCAGTGATGCATGCAAAGGCTCACAGCTGGGATTGCCAGGTATGTACATGTACATTTAAACTTGTAGTCAGTTAATTTTGGCAGAGAGTATTAAAGGGGCCAGTACGGTGAACTTTAACAGACTGCTTCTGATCCATTTCGTTTTCAAGAGTGCCAGTTAAGTTTTATTGGGCAAAAGAATCTCAATGATTTTCTGCACATTTTGAAACAGTTTTGTTTTGTAATTTTGGAGACATGAACCATTATTACAACATCATACTTATAACAAGGATAATGTTAGGCTCAAAGGCTTTGTTTTTCTTTGTTTTCCATTACTGTTAATACAAGGTACCTGTTATAACAAGGTAATTGTAAAGTCCCAAGGACCTTGTTATTAAGGTGTTCTATATTTGTGGGAAAACTATAGTGACTGAACAACACGAACAGTATTACCTTTGTTATCATTTGAACGAAAGAAGTTGTGAATCTTGAAGTTGTAACAAAGGCTAATGCAACACAGTATCACTGCGAGTGGTTATTCAATAAGAGTATACATGTGGGCATGCTACAGGTATGACACTGTGTATCTCATCTTTAAGACATTTTAATAAACTGTTTGAAGTTTCTACACATTTCGATGACAAGCATATTTTGAAATCACTGTCAATGCAGTCATGGTGAATCATTGAATGAGTTCAGTTGCAGAACAATGATGCATTCTTAACCAATAATCAGTGACAATTTTGAAGTTATGCCTGAGTGCGATATCTTCCTAACCCACTCATACAGAGCACTGCCTGGCTTCAGAGCACAAAACCATACCTTTCTTCATTCAATTCATCACCATGGCAATTTTTTGATATTGGTGCTTTTGTTGCACATGAGATACATGTTAAAATGTGCATGGCCTGGTTGAGATCTTTTTTACTATTAGCAATACAATGTCTTCTCCAGAGCTCCTGATGCCAGTCATTTAAAGAATGAGGAGGTTACTGTAATTGGGTGTTTTAAACTTGATAGGTTTTGATTTTCGAACCCCATCATTTTTCATTTATTCCCCCGACCCCTCTATATGTTTTGTTTAGGCTTGTCATTTGTGGACCTTTGCACATTACTCTGTAACTTTTAAGGTCCTTTGGGGTGGAAGAAACCAAGATGGAGCTGGTGCAGGTGCAGGTGAAGACATGGAACTATTCTTCAGCTACCTGTCACGCTGTGGTTCCACAACCAAAAACATGGGAAAAGCAAGTATGTGTTCTAACTTTGAAGCAAACTTTTTTTTTTTCCATTACTGTTGTTTCCTACAGTATTGATGTGCAATATGCAGTGCTAGTTTTTTTTTTTGGGGGGGGGGGAATAGCGCACTTGTTTGTTTGGTTTTTTTTTTACAGAAAATTCTATCCATGACTCGGAAGCAGTTAAAAAGATTTTTAGATATTTAGCTTACGTGTGTAAATTCAATTTTTCCCAAATCTAGGTCACACATTTTGCCTTATACAACCCTTTTTATAACAACCTATTTTCAATTTTGTAACGTTTATTATGAATGAGCTGACTTTCTTTATTGCCAAGACAGCGAAGGGAGGGGTGAGTCTGAAGTCCACACATACCCCTATAGGACAAATGTTAATAAAACAATAACATGTTTAATTGCTAGGCTTTCTTTCATCAAACATCTCTCTCATCTGTCCCGTGTACTTTTCATTTGTTTTGTTCTGTGTTCCAGATCGAGAAGATACACTGACATCACATGTCCTTTTTTGGAATTCCAAAAAAGTAGAAGGACTGGCTAGACAGTTGTGCAAGAGATATGAAGTGGTATGATTTTTTTTTAACACTTACAGTACATGTATGGGTTCTGGATTTATACCATTGGGCCATTCCTTGATCACTTTGTGCCAAAAAATTCGAAGCTGCACAGCTTTTTGACTAATCTGATTAATTACATACACCGATTGATCCATTCAAAGTTTGGTTATGTGTGCAAGAAAAAATTAGATTCGGCCTCAATCCTCCAAAATCATCCGTTGTTTCTTTAATTTAGTCTGTGGAGGGTGACCACTGTCTCAATCTAGCAAAGAACGAATGGCGTTAAGAAGTGATGCAGATGAAAAACAAGAAAAACACAGAGCTGATTTATGCATGGCTGAACATAATCAATGCAGGATATGGCCTACTGGCACGAAGTAATGCATCCTCCACACAAAAAAAAACATCTTGCCATTCATCCTCAATCCTCTAAATTCATCCAAACCGGCAGGAGGATTTTGGAGGATTGAGGAGTGTTAGGGATGTTGTTGTTTCTTGTTTTATTAAAATGAATTTATACCAGTTCATTTGAAAAATGTTTGCTCGATTATTACCCTTCTTCCACTTTATTTCAGAATCAGAGCCATTTTTAACAATGGGTTTTATTAAGGTATCAAACATTTTCAAATTAATTTAGGATATAACTTATTGCCAATTTCTTTTCTAATTGAATAGGCTGCTTTGTTTACAAGATTATTAGTTGCTGACTTACATGAACCTGAGATTGAAAAGTAATCCGTAAATACAAATAAGAATCAACAATATCAATGGATTCACCACTAATACATGTACTCAAATTATTAACCATGTACATGTATTGGGCTTTAGATAAATCTTTGTTAAACATAATGACTTTTGTTTTGTTAACATTTACAATCAGTCTCCACTTATTAGAAAATAACTCAAATTTCTTAATAAGCAATTGTAGTCTCTCATATGTGTCAGACAAAATAATCATATCATCTACATACAACAATGAATTTATATTTCTAGATAATAGGTCAGCTCTTTAGAATCGTCATTTTGAAGGTTTCATGTGTCTCATCGGAGCGTAACATAGGGCAAGATGGTGCATGTACATGTACACCATACATGTCCATGTATCTATTAGGACATTCTTAAAAGAACTTGGATATTGTGTGTAATATTTCAGTTGTCTAGTTCTTCTGTTAAAAATAACAGCATAGGTATTTCCACGATACAGACCTTAACACAAAGGCACTTACATAAATGCTGACATTGTTATATTTCTTGAAAAGATTTCTTTTTGGCTTTTTCTTAAGAATTCCCCCAAAAAGTGGTATTCATTCAATAATACATTTTTAAAAAACATCTGCTATAAGATTGCCTTAAATATACCCATATTCCTTTTCTGGAACGTGTAACAAAGCTTCAATGTTAATAATTCAGTCGTAAAAATGTAAAGGATTTGTCAAAAGATCATCCCTTAATCTTTAATGCATGGACTCCTAGCACTTTTTTTTCTAAGAAATAACTGTTTTTTGGGGTTCCATTGTAAAAACACAATATAAAATAGATTAAAGATACTAAAAAAAAGACTTACTATTGAAAAAATCCAATGACCCAATATGATTGTAAAATTAATTACCCAACAAACTGCCCTTTTCTGTAACCCATTGTTGGGCAGACTCTGATAACATAACAGAGGAATATTTATTAATTCCTGAATTGTACATTTGGTCAAAAAGATATTGTTTTTCATCGTGCATTGTCAGGAGTACAATGTATATGAACTTAACAAGGAATAAAATTGTTATCTATTTCAGGCTCAGAAAATGATATCAAGTACTGACACTGACTTGATGAGCCTTTTGGACAAAGTGCAAGCTGACTACAGTAATCTCGGTGAATGGATGAGAGAAATAAGAGCATGTGCAAAAGGTACGTGTATGTAGTTCTCTTGAAATATTGAAAACTTTCGGTACAGTGTTTCCTGACAGCAGAATTCAAAAGCCTAACAATAACTTCATTGTCACAATAACTGATTAAGTGATGGTTTTTAATTACTTGATTAGATTATGAATGAATTATCTGAAGATAAGTCCCTGAATCATGAAGCCATGATGAAGTCATCACATGTGTCATCACATATTATGTCATTATATAAGGTGGATTTTTAAGGACCTACATTGTACCATTTACATGTATATTAAGAGAACAACAAGGCAAATTCAAATGAAACTCTGGTATTTAAACATAGAGGGAGGAGCGAAAAAGGAAAATTGAGGTTACATCACATCATTATGTAAATTGTTGTTGACTTTTCTTCTCCATATCTTGTGAAAAAAAGTATGCTACCTTGACAATTCTTTTTGTATTAGGTTTGATAGGTAATAAATCTAAATTTTGTAAAAGTGTGCTGTCGTGATCACATCATAAGAAACGTGATTTGTGAAACGGGAAAGTCAAGAAACTACATGTACAAATGTATAGATAACGTTTATGTTTGTCTATAAACACAAATACATGTAGTCCCATTTTATCATTGTGATTCTTTATTTTGTTATGTGAACATTAAGGACATACATGCATCATATACCTGTACATTAGGGTCTCATTTACAAGTAGTGCTAGTTACAGAAGGCGTTACCCTTCGTAGAGAAAGCTGTGCTAATTCACCATCCTCATCTTTTTTCATGCAGATGCACAGAGCAACACAATGCCCCATGCACCCGATGCTGAGTTGGAGCGCTTTTTTCAGTTAAAACAGAAGCTCCGAGAAATTGCTCCCCTGCAAGAATACACAGACATTTCAAGTCAGCCCATCAGCTTGTTGCTCGACAGTACTGACTTGTACTCAGAGGCCACTAAGTTAACCGGCAAAGCAGTCAACATCTTGAAGGAATTGGAAGAGACACATACAATATTACATGAGCTGTATGGCGTTCCAGAAGAAGAACTCTACCAGATGGGTCGCACTGCAGCCATCGAGCACCAAGTGGCAGTGCTCCAAGACCAGGTGGAGCTGCATTGCCAGCAAATCAAAAGGAGAGACTTGGAAATAACCAAGTTTGCGGGTAAGTTGACTAACCATGACTAGATTTATGGCTCAGTCAATGACGCGCGTTTCTATTTGTAGTGCATTTAAATTATATTCTTCCCAGCCCATGACATATTTGCAATTAAAAAAATGAAGTGTGCATTGTCGTGAATAGGAGACAATATTAGAAGTAGGTCACAATGTTCGTTGCAATTCTAGATCCAGTGCAGTGTATGTTTGCCACATCTATTTCAGCCGTTCCATTCAACTCTATTGTACCTTTACAAAAGTACTGTTTTTTTCCAAAAAAAAAGAAATACCTACCCCGTCTATAAAATCAAAATGCTGACTCAATTTCTTCTGACACAATTCAATTTCAAAATATTCATTATTTCATTGCCAGGCAGTACATAAAATGCTCCCTTAGATCTATTTTGAGATTATGTCATTATTTGTTGTTTGGCCACCAGGGTTGGACATATTTAGGAAAAATGAAATAGATCTAATAGCCACAAATGAAATAAACTAGATTCATTTCTACTTAAATGTAAATATTTCAGATTACAAGTTCGAAATTTTTGAGCTTGTCCAAATTTCACTTTGATTTTTCAAGCAACTTGTTTGGAAATGTTGTGTGAATGGACATGAAGTGTGAGTGGTGCGCGGCCAATTCAGTGGTAAATGCAGAGTGCAAACTTTTTTAAAATGAGAGGAAGGAGAAGGTTGCTTTATAGCATCATTAGTAAGTTTAGGGTGTTTTTTCTTTTGGGACATCCAACCTGGACGATACGTTTCTGCTGCACTTGTATTACCAAGTACTGGTTTTTAAAAAAAAAAAAAAATACCTACCTGGTCTATAAAATCAAAATGCTGACTCAATTTCTTCTGACACAATTAATGTCAAAATATTCATTATTTTATTGCCAGGCAGTACATAAAATGCTCCCTTACCACTGAATTGGCTGCACCACTCACACTTCATGTCCATTCACACTATTACAAACAAGTTGCTTGAAAAATCAAAGTGAAATTTGGACAAGCTCAACAATTTCGAACTTGTAATCTGAAATATTACGGTATCTGTCTTAGTTTTCCTGTTGTAGTTGTAGACTCATATAAACATAATTATATTTAATGCTGTTTCTATCCCCCCCCCCCCACCTCCTCCCTTCTTGCAAACAGATTCTTCTAAGATCCGCAAAAACTTGCGACAAAAAAATCTTGAGGAAAAGAAGAAACTTGCAGTGCTGGTCGATAAGTTAAACTCCATCCAAAACATGAAGGCCAGTGACGTTGTTGATGCGAGTGTAGCGGATGCACTAGCTGGAAATTTCCCTTGGCAGAGAGGTAATGTCATCTGATTGATTGACATGATTGATGGGTGGTTGGGTTGACGTGTCACCCTAATTAGTTCACGATTTATTTGCTTGCAAATAATACATGACATATTGTGCATGTAATGGGTTACTTTTCTGTAACATTTCTTGCTATTTTTTGTATCTTGGTTGCAGGAACCAAGGTTTCATGGAACCTCAAGAAGACTGCAGTGGATCTATGGATGCTGTCCCAAAGGAACCACGAGGAGGTCGTTCTTCTTAAGAACGAGATGAAAAACTACCTGCTGTATTTCCAACGACTCATTGGGGAAATGGAACAGAATACAGCAGAAACTGAGACGTCAGATGTGGCTCTGGTGCAGCCATGGTTTGAAGTGGAAGATGATCAGGTTTGTCAGGAAAGTCAGGTCATAAATAGATGAACCAAATTACCACAAAAAAGAAATATGTGACACCTTGATGACATCATCGAAATATATGTGACGTTTAAAGCAAATATTTGGAAATGTCCAATTGGTATAAATATCTATTGGTTACAGTATTCAAAATCTGAAATGCCGTCATGATGACATTCTCAACTGATTAGTTTTTAAGCATTTAATATTTTTTGCTTATAAAAAAAACCTTCAAACGCACTGACATTGACTTGAAACTGCACACAATCAGGCCTTCATCTAAAACTGAATTGCATTATTTAAGGGCCTTCATCTAGAGAACTTCGGTTGAAACTTGGTTGTAGACAAAGCGGTGAGATTTACAAATGAAAAAGGAACCTGGCATCACAATGACGTCATGTTGATTTTTACTGTTTTTCACATTTGTACAGCTTATCTCCATATCTCATGAATTGAACATTTAAAATACTTTTTGTGTTAGGTTTGGTATTTCTTAGATCTATAGCCAACATTCTTTAGAGTGTTTGACGTCATCAAAGAAATGATTTTGAAAATAATCGTCTGAATTATGTAGGCGTAAACATATCTGATGTTCATTCCATGAATGCACACATCTCTTTCTTAATTAAAGGATTTGTGCTATGAATTTTTCTCAGGAATACATTTTGTGCAACTTTCTACTTCTCTGAAATGTATGAAAACTATTTTGACATCCTTTTTTGGTTAATCTTATTGCAAAGAGCATGTCTTTAAACATTTACAACTTTACATGCTTTTGTGGACTACTGAGCTCGCTGTTGCTTTGATGTGCTTTCAGGTAGACACTGTTCAGTTGAGGGGTTTTCTTTCAAATAATTTACCCAAAATTTGCCAATTGAAAACATTTGTGAGAAAGAAGGGTCATTGGCGTCCTGACATCATGGAGCTATTAAACGGACCAAACAAAGAATCATCAAAGAAAAGAAATTTGTGACATATCCACAATTCTACCAAATGTTTGTGCTGAAATAGCCATGTAACATTAATCATGTCCAGTATGAATGAAAGTTTCACTAATTAATATGGAACTTTGTGTCAGCATAAAAATGGAGAAGGCACCAAAAATACCCTTCGAAGTGGAAAAATACAACTTGAAAATAAGGCTGACACAAAGATGTGTTTGCGAGGTTTGCATTGAAAAATTACTTTGCACTGGTCTTTTAATTAAGTAAGTGTTCGGTCAGATATATGCAAGAAAACATTTCAGAAATTACCCAAGAGAAGTGTTCCCAATGGTTAGAATTGTTGGCAAACATACATGCCCAGATGTCTTGCACGTCACAAAATGGTCAACGTTATAAAGAAGCCCCGTGACCAAATGTTTAAACAAGTAGGAAAGATCAACAGTGAAGATGAAACTATCTTAGTCCTTTCCATTTCATTATTTTTGTACATCTTGTATCCCTCATATCAGTTAATTTGTTTCATTGTAAATGTATGTTGTACAGTCACCCAGATTTTTTGGGAAAATTAACCTTGGAGGAAAATAAGAAAATATTCCAATGAAAAAAAATCGTATTAATTTGAATGACCAAACGATGATATTGATTGTCCATAATCGAATAAGAAACGAGAAGCATGGTAATATGTTATAGGCGCACTGACGTTTGCTAATTTGAATGCGTCAACCATCAAAAGACTTATTTTGAGAGAAAATACAAAGTAAGTTTTGAATGCACCAAAACGAAATATAGGGGGGGGGGGGTCCCTGGATTCACTCTTGTGTTGAAAGCCAATTAATATATCTTATGCATGAACCAGTTTGCCTTTTGTAATTTCAACTTGTCATTATCTGCAAACTTCATCCATATAGGAAACGGATTGGAAATATAAGGCCCAGACCAGATCAGTGGGTGTGGAGCACGGTTTGATGGCTCTCCGAAGAAGAGGAGCAGCACATGCAAGACGTCTTCTACAAAGGGGATCAAGACTCTTCCAAAAAGTCCTTGTGGGAGATGTCATAGCACCAATTGAAGACGACTGGATGGGTGCTATGAAGTTAGACGACAAGGAGTTGTCAGACATGGATTCAGATTTGGAGTAGAGTATGTGTTTGTTTTTTTCTTCTCAGTTCTGGTAACACTTCAAGCTGTTGTGTTAAAAACCCTAGGTAGATGAAGTTAATTTATGACAAAATGCAACATTTTATTCTCGGTAATATGACACACACAAAGGTACAGGATTTTGGTTTGAAACGTCAAGATAGCACATTTTAGAAAGAGTTAAGGATGTTTTTAGTTTGTTGGGGATTTTTTTCGGCTTTTTAGTGGTATATTGTTTAGTGGTGGCATCTCTGAGTTAAGTTTGAGTATGACTATGAGAGGGGGTTTGAATGCTGTTGTCCAAAAATTGGTCATTCACGTCGTCATACCTTAGGGCCCTGTCACAATTCTGCGTATCCTAATTCCTTATGAGTTGCGCATTGACATTTTTTTCATACGCAGTCGAACGCACAATACGCACCTCATATGCATCTCTATCGTTTTGTGTAGGTTTGTTGTACGCAGATATACGCATGGTACGGCCCAGTACGAGTCACGTGACGTCAAAATATAGATGTACATTTTGAAGGCCCATAACTTCAGGTCCGATTAAATTGAAATTTGGTACATACCTAAACCGGGAGGTGTTATAGATGAAAAATTAGGTGACGTCATGATGGTGTCAGCACGTGACAAGTGACATCATAGTAAACGTCCATACTTTGAAGGTCTGTATCTACAGTACAACAGGTCCGATTGGTGTGAAAGTTGGTGTGTACTTAGACCAGGATGTGTTATAGATAACAAAAATGAAGTGACGTCATGATAACGTCATCATGGGTCACGTGACGTCACATTAAAGATTAATAGATTTAATCTTTTGGAAATCAATATAAAATCAATTATGAGAGACCTGAAAATGACTATTGCGAGAATTAATAGAACAATCCAGGGTCTTCACTTCTGATATTATGTGCAAAATCATGTGATCCTTCCAGTTGAAACCGGAAGTGCCTTGTAATTTAAAATTGGTGAAAAATGTGAACTTGCTTTGAACGATGTATGCTCTGGCCAAATTGTTATTTACAAAAAAAAATAAAGTTATAGATGAAAATTTATGTGATGTCATCATGACGCCATCACGTGACATGTGACGTCATAATTCAAAGCCCAATGAGAATGAAATCACATATTATGCCACCATTTATTATAAACAGAACTACACATCCTTCCTGGATGGAACTTAAACTTGAAACTTTACATGTCATGTGTCACAAAAAGTTACCGAAACAGCCCTGTGTTTGTCAACAAATATAAGTCTATTTTTTGTAATTGTTTGTTATTTTAGTTTTTCCTCACTTGCTGTGTGCAGAAGTATAGGAGAATTCCAAAGTTCAGTTGTTTACGCCATTTTATGGGGTTTTTTTCGCAGGTTTTATTAATTGGTGGTCACTCCTACCTTTGTAGATGTCTGCGTAGACATGTACACCTTGAGTAAAGGCTGACCTCGTAGGCTTTATCTTTGGATTAAGGATATCTTTTTAAAATTATGTCATAAATGTAATGTAAGAAGCACCAAAAATAATTATCAATTTGAATCCTATTTTTTGTGTCTACTTTTCAGTGAGAAAATTATGTCATTTTTTTACAAGTTAAGATTGTATCAATACATGTACTTAAATGACGACAACCCTAAAATCAGGTAAATCCAAATGAGTAATGTACATTTTATATAATGTACATGTAGGATTTTTACTGTTTAAAACCCCTCGCCACTCAGCCCCCCCCCCCCCTCCAAAAAAAAATGACTAGAAAAAAAATGACTGTAGTGGGCAGTAAAGTTTAATATTTTTTTTAATAAGCGTGCTTTGGCTATCAACAGGATTGTAAACATTTCTATATATATTTTTTTTTTTGAGGAGATCGTTTCAAATGAATCAAACAGTTCTTTAGGGTCATTTCGGAGTGGCGATTTTATCTCAACAGATTTGTCAATTTAAGTAATGCTGGGATCTATGGTCTGCTTTTTGTTTGACCCTGTGAAGCAGAAAACAACCCGTAGTTTAAATGTTGCAAGCTTTTCTCTGTAATGTTGCAAGTGTGTACTAATGTTTGGTTGAAGATGACATTCAATTTCGGTATGGCCTGCAATTAAATCGAAAGATAAAACATAAATAATGTAGATTCCAAGCCATGACAGTTATCTGTACAGATAATGTGAATGTTTTAGGTAATTTCTGTGTGTATAGTAGTACTTTCCAAATCTAGGATATGAAAGTCCAATTCATAAGGGTTTTTTTAGTACAAGAATCATTCAAATTGCTCATGTAATTACAAGTTACGGAATCTCAAACACAACCACCGTTTTAAAATGACATGTATGTCCACGGATCACTAAAAAAGGCGTGCGTTCTTTTAGCAAAACGATAACAATTCACACACATGCCGTGTATGTGATTTGTTTTCATTTTGCTGAAAGAACTCTCACTTTTTTGTGATTCGTGGACACAACTTTAAAACAATGGTTGTGTTTAAAATTCAGTAACTTGAAGAGCACATGAGTGATTTCAATGATTCCTGTACTAAAAGAAAGTTTATGAATCCGGCTTTCATATCCTAGATTTTGAAAGTGCTACATGCAGAATCTCATTAAAACAGTGGTCGAGACATTTGGGTTTCGTTTCTTTTTAATCACCCTGTACATGGGTAAGACAATTAAATAAAACCTGAAATGTCGAAAAATTGACGATGGAGAATGGAAAAATTGAGAATGGTGATTGTGTTCAAACACCGTAGTACTGTACATGAGTGGTGTGAAATAATCTGATACTCAAAGTTTTGTAATTGGGCAAAACTTCTTGGGTATCTTTTTTTGTTATTTTGTTTTTATTTCCAAACATTCTGGTTTTCTTGTTGTACACAGCCTGTAAACGAACTCCAGAGAAAGAGGGGTCACAATATTGAATCTGATCGTCGTATTATGTCACCATTGATGTAAAATGAAGCCAACGACATCTTAAAGGTCACATGACTGACATCATCCCAAAATGATCAGATGAAATTCGACTCCTTCAATGAGAGTGGGGTGAACATATTGTTGGACGATGTTTATATGTGTGTGTTTGTATCGTAGAGTACCTGTATCGAGGAACATTCAAAAAGATGTAACCCTACAGTAAAAGAATTCAAAATTGATAATAGGTCCTCTTTCAAAGGTTATATTGTCTATGTGTATGAGATATAGCCATATTGTCAAATTAAGGTAATTGCAGTTAACTGTTATATTCTTGCAGCAGCATTAAGGTATACTGCTTTTGCTAATCAATAAAATAGAAGTAGAAAAAAATGTTCCATATCCAATGTGTACGTGTGTTTTCATTAAAACAAAAATAATAATTTAGGGTTGCTTTGTGAAAACCGAATCAATAATTGTAATGAACTTGTAATTTGCGGGCGACATGATCATGAACCATAACATCAACTTTTGAATAAGTCTTCCTTCTTTTTGTGCTCTGTTTTCTGGATTTGATGTTGGGAGCCTGGTTGACTCGGGTCTAACATTGGCTCTAAACGGAGAGTCTATGATGACAAACGCGTCGTCTGGATTTGATGTTGGGAGCCTGGTTGACTCGGTCTAACATTGGCTCTAAACGGAGGGTCTATGATGACAAACGCGTCGTCTGGATTTGATGTTGGGAGCCTGGTTGACTCGGGTCTAACATTGGCTCTAAACGGAGAGTCTATGATGACAAACGCGTCGTCTGGATTTGATGTTGGGAGCCTGGTTGACTCGGGTCTAACATTGGCTCTAAATGGAGAGTTTATGATGACAAACGCGTCGTCTGGATTTGATATTGGGAGCCTGGTTGACTCGGGTCTAACATTGGCTCTAAATGGAGAGTCTATGATGACAAACGCGTCGTCTGGATTTGATGTTGGGAGCCTGGTTGACTCGGGTCTAACATTGGCTCTAAACGGAGGGTCTATGATGACAAACGCGTCGTCTGGATTTGATATTGGGAGCCTGGTTGACTCGGGTCTAACATTGGCTCTAAATGGAGAGTCTATGATGACAAACGCGTCGTCTGGATTTGATATTGGGAGCCTGGTTGACTCGGGTCTAACATTGGCTCTAAATGGAGAGTCTATGATGACAAACGCGTCGTCTGGATTTGATGTTGGGAGCCTGGTTGACTCGGTCTAACATTGGCTCTAAACGGAGGGTCTATGATGACAAACGCGTCGTCTGGATTTGATGTTGGGAGCCTGGTTGACTCGGGTCTAACATTGGCTCTAAATGGAGAGTCTATGATGACAAACGCGTCGTCTGGATTTGATGTTGGGAGCCTGGTTGACTCGGTCTAACATTGGCTCTAAACGGAGGGTCTATGATGACAAACGCGTCGTCTGGATTTGATGTTGGGAGCCTGGTTGACTCGGTCTAACATTGGCTCTAAACGGAGAGTCTATGATGACAAACGCGTCGTCTGGATTTGATGTTGGGAGCCTGGTTGACTCGGTCTAACATTGGCTCTAAACGGAGGGTCTATGATGACAAACGCGTCGTCTGGATTTGATGTCGGGAGCCTGGTTGACTCGGGTCTAACATTGGCTCTAAACGGAGAGTCTATGATGACAAGCGCGTTGCTTTATGAAAATTTACTTTTTACGTACAAGTCATGTTTTGGACATCAGTGCACATACATGAAAGTATAAAGTTAAATTGTGGAGGGCAATTAAGAATAATGAAATTAACATTCATTTCGAGTGGAAGTAAATACAAATGTGGTGTAAAATTGTGTACATTACGCAGCAAACAAAAAAGGGTGCTGCAATTTCTCTACAAAATTGGCCAAAATTGCGCCCTCTTTTGGCGAAATCAATCCAGTTGAGTGTAGTAGACGGCAATATCAGAGACCCTTCTTGGGCTGTGAAAGATATAATTGACATTTATTTGGTCAATGCATTGTACGAAATTACTCTACAATATACTGTTACATAAACAGTGACATAAAACATGATTGTACAGATATAACATCGAAATATTGTACAAAACGAGTTCTTTTTGCTCCAAAATGAGTGGATGAAATATAATGAGGCTTGAAGGTTGAACCCCCCCCCCCCCCCCCCCAAAAAAAACACCCACATTTAAAAAAAAAACACCTGTAAAAACAAAAGTGTCTTAATTCAATGAGGGGAGATGTACTTTTGTGTTAATACATTTCATCAACTCTTGAATAAATTCACCGCTTAAGACAAAACAAGTTGAAATGTGAAGGTGCTGCTGGGAAAGGTTGCCACAAAACATGTGTATAGGTGGAAAGCAGATATGCTTTAGCAGTCGACGTTATCACTATCATCACATTGTCTTTCGTGACTCCATAATATGACGAAATAGAATTTAAGGTACAGCCATAACCCATATGTACTGAGTAAAAACATCCATCACTTTTCACGGTTACACCT